AACAAGTAGGCTTCCTGTCCTGCGTTCTCTGGGTTGCTTCAACACTTGGACGAGTGGTGTAAATAGTGGAGCGTGTGTTGTGTTCACGAGCACTGCAAAGTTTGAAAGGTCCGTCCTCAGGAATTCAGATTATGTCGTTGATGTCGGGCCTTTGTCGCAAGACACGTTCGAAAAACTGTTTAAAATTGCCATTGCTCGTTTCACTTTGACAACCCAAAGGACTCTCGACAGTCGTAAGGACGCTGTTATTAAGGCTATAGTGTCCCGCATCTAGTCGCGAAAAAATTTGGGAAAAAACCTTAATTTGTTGCGTTTTCACATCACCGCAGTCACATTGTTTATGAAGCACTCATGGCCGCCATTTTGGTGTTCATCTTCACTCTCTTCCAAAAAAAAGCTCATTTCTCTACATGTATACCTTTAAAAAATATCCTTTCTTCCTTTACACATCGCAAAATATCGAAATAAAATGGTTTACTTGAATAAAAGGAAGAGACAGTTGCAAGGTGCTTGACAGAAAAAAGCGCAGCGCAAATTGGAACAAGATTCAGAGATATCTTCTGGGAATTTGCAGACAGAAGCAGTGCTCCTATTCGTACTGAAACTTTGTCAATTATCCTCGTAGCCATGGTCCATATGTGTGGCCTCTTTTATTCCTTCTGACCGAGAAAACTAAAAATAAAATAAATAAAATCTAGCGTTCGCTCTGATCTACTCTCTATCTTCTTTTTTTCTCGCTCAGGAACACATCCAGCATATTGAAGTTCCAAATGAGCGAGTATGACACTTCTGATCCATTATACACTCTCTCCAGAGCCAGCTGGCTACACTCACCAGCCGGCTTGAAGCCTCTCGACTAGCTCTGAATCCAGTCGATCGAACCCCTACTTGGTTCCAAAGGAACCAGCTTACGAAATTACCCCTGACGACTCCATTCTCGTCCACTACCCAGCAATGGACGGGAAAGATTTTTTTCAAACATAAATCTGGAAACCGTGCAGACGATCTTGCATATGCAACAGAAATGGCTAAAGAGATGCATTCTTTTGCCAAAAACACAACCCAAACTATTCTGCACCCAATCGGCACTCATTGACTGGCCCGACTCTTCCTCTCACCACAGTTCCATGGACAAAAGCAATCTCACGCTATCAATCACGATTGGCAAACCTTACAAGACCACTTGATCAATTTGCCACGGAAATGTTTTCCTACGAAGTTGACCCTGCGGTCGCACAAGCGTGTTTACAGCTCGCACAGACAATGCGTGAACATGCCGCACACCTGGCACAGCAAATGTCAAGCGACAGAGAGGACCTTGTTTACCAGGCGCACAAAATTTCAGTCACCAAGGACACAGTTGATCCACCAATTGTCTCTACTTCAGACTTCATTGAAGCCAGCAAATTGGCAAAGAGTGTTCGTCAGGCTACTAACCCGACAAGACAACGGGCATACAACAGGAGGACTCAAAACCGGAGTTTCTTTAGCGCAAATACTTACAGACCCACTTCTAATTCTAGCCAATCTCATCCATCGGGTCAAACTCAGACCGCCCACTATCAAAATGACAATGGTTCTTTTTTTGGGCGAGGCCAAAATCCAAGGAGAGGGGGACGAGACCGAGGCCGAGGCTACCAAACCCCTCAATTCAACCAGACAAGTCAGGCACAGACTGCAGGCCAGCAGTAGGTGGCCGTTTACAGATTTACAGAGGGTTCTCATAACCGACAACGAATGGGTCAAGTCGGTCGTCTCCGAGGGATTCAAAATCCCTTTCCACAAACGGCCACCGATATCCAGTTCAACAGCGTACCAAGCTCGAGTAGCAGCGGAGGAAGAGAAGGCGATCGATCAAGAGGTAATCGCACTCTTAGCCAAAAGAGCAATAGAGGTCGCTTCGGGCCCTGGTTTCAAGAGCCGAATATTCACTATCCCCAAGAAAACCGGGGACATTCGGCCAGTCTTAAATCTAAGACCGTTGAATGCCTACGTCTCAGAGCGGCACTTCAAAATGGAGACGATGACGACAGTATGCGCAATGTTACAGAAGAACGACTTTATGACAAGCATCGACCTATCAGACGCATTTCTTCACGTACTAATCCATCCAGATTATCGTCATTATCTACAGTTCCAATGGAAGAACCGGAAATTTCAATTCCGTACACTTCCCTTCGGGCTCTCACTCTCTCCGCTAGTGTTCACCAAAGTTCTCAAGCCTTTCCTCAAATGGGCACGACGACGAGGAATTCGCATATCAGCGTACCTAGACGATTTGATAATCCTAGCCAAGAACAAAGAACAATCAATCCAGTTCACTCAACTAGTGCAAGACAAGTTGGCAGCGCTAGGATTCCTCATCAAGGAAGCCAAGTCTACGTTGATCCCGTCACAGAAAATAGACCATTTAGGCTTCACCATCAACTCCCGGGATATGACTGTCACAGTTCCGAAATCCAAAGTCAGGGACATACGGCGCGAGGCAGGAAAGCTACTACGAAAAGGCGCCACTTCTTTAAGGGAACTTTCTTCGTTCGTCGGGAAAGCAATGGCAACATCTATGGCAGTGTTCCCAGCGTGATTCATGACACGGAATCTGCTTCAGCTCAAGAACACAGCACTAAAAGCCAAGGGAGCTTCTTGGTCGGACACGGTCACCCTCACGGAACCAGCCAAGGAGAACCTTCAATGGTGGAAGGAGCAATTGACGTCATGGAATGGTCTGTCATGGATTCAACAACAGACACAAATGGACATATACACGGATGCATCGGACACCGGATGGGGGATCGTGATCAACAATCAAACATGGAGTGGCAAATGGACTCCACAAGAGAAAGACCACCACATCAACTGGAAGGAACTACAGACAGTTCTTCGAGCTGTTCAACTACCAATAACACAGGGCAAAATGATCAACATCATATGCGACAACACGACGACGATTGCACACATCAACAGGTTCGGAGGGACGAGGTCTCCGGAACTAATGAGACTAGCGGACACGTTATGGCGTCACTGCCTAGCAACGGGGACTCGACTTCGGACGACATACATCCCATCTGCATTCAACCCAGCGGATGCACCGTCACGGCGAATGATATCGCAATTGGAATGGAGGATCAGTCGCCCATTCTTTCAACAACTGGAACACCAATGGGGCCACATCAGGTGGACCTATTTGCGTCAGCACAGAACAAACAGCTACCGGCATTTGTCTCATGGAAATTCCATCCAGATGCTCTGAAGATAGACGCCCTTCAACACAACTGGACAGAGATGGGCAACCTTTACATTTGCCCCCCATGGAATCTTCTATCAATCATCTTGGAGAATACAGACCCAGAAACTGACAGCAACAGTAATAACCCCATGGTGGCCGAGTGCAATATGGTTCCCAACCATCAAGGAGATGGCAGTAGCACCACCAATCCCGATCCCTCGGGAAGCAGTCCTACCAGCCGTCGGAAGCGCAAGCGATCTCCTCAGCAAGAATCCACTCTGGTCATTGACAGCATGGAGAATAAGAGGCGACGTAAAGATCTAGATGCAGGACTCCCACCATCCGCTATCACTCTACTAGATTCAGCGGGTGCCAACAGCAAAACACGTCGACAATATCTTCCAACTCAAGAGGCTTTCGCAGTATGGGCTCAACAAGAAGGCTTCGACCCTAGTACGCCAAATGCAATTGCTGTGGTTAACTATTTATGCCATGCGCGGATTATTTATTCTTGGCGTAGGAATACCACTCTTAACAAAAAATCAGCCATCTTAAAGCTTTACGACGACACATCCGTGATCACAGGCAATATCTACTTTCAGCGGTTCATGGCAGCAATGAAAAGTACTGGCGTATTTCAAATGGAGCACGTATCCGCACTCGACATTTCACCCATCCTTTCATACTTCCGCATGGAGGACAATGTGGATCTTGATATGCCTAAGCTCTCTCGCAAGCTCTGCTGGCTCTTAGGCGTTTGTGCGTTTCTCCGGCCAGATGATATCGGTTGCATCGATGTGTCAAAGTCAGAGACCGATGAAAAGGGTCTTCTCCTTACCATAGTCTTCCCTAAGGAACGGCGCGATGGGCAGCGCATCATAAAGTCGATCTTCGTAGGTAGACACCCTAACGACAAGGAAATTTGCCCAGTCGAGGCCTATACAGAATACACCAGACGGATAGCGGACACACCTCTCGAAATCAAGCACCACAAAGATCAGGATTATAAATTCAATCCTCTTATGCGTTTTGTGAAAGACAAGTCCAAAGTCCTTAGGGTCAGTACCATAGGCACTTTTATGAATGAAATCACACGTCGGATTCCAAATCTTCCGTCGAAACGGCCTCCTCCAAAGCCACGCGCTATAGGATCAACCTTGGCAGCCATCGCTGGCGTATCAACCCAAGATATCATGGTTCAAGGGAATTGGTCGTCTGACAAGGTTTTCCGCAAAACCAATTCAAATTTGACGACATCGGTTTTTGGTTCGCTCTGAAGTCACATATGGACCATGGCTACGAGGATAATGATCTGGAAGTGCTACAAAGGACGCACTATCCTCATTATCAGAGTAGCCATGGGACATATGTCCCTCCCACACCTCCCTTTTCTTTTCACTCGTTACTAGATAGAGAGTAGATCAGAGCGAACGCTAGATTTTATTTATTTTATTTTTAGTTTTCTCGGTCAGAAGGAATAAAAGAGGCCACACATATGGACCATGGCTACGAGGATAATTGACAAAGTTTCAGTACGAATAGGAGCACTGCTTCTGTCTGCAAATTCCCAGAAGATCTCTCTGAATCTTGTTCCAATTTGCGCTGCGCTTTTTTCTGTCAAGCACCTTGCAACTGTCTCTTCCTTTTATTCAAGTAAACCATTTTATTTCGATATTTTGCGATGTGTAAAGGAAGAAAGGATATTTTTTAAAGGTATACATGTAGAGAAATGAGCTTTTTTTTGGAAGAGAGTGAAGATGAACACCAAAATGGCGGCCATGAGTGCTTCATAAACAATGTGACTGCGGTGATGTGAAAACGCAACAAATTAAGGTTTTTTCCAAATTTTTTCGCGACTAGATGCGGGACACTATAGCCTTAATAACAGCGTCCTTACGACTGTCGAGAGTCCTTTGGGTTGTCAAAGTGAAACGAGCAATGGCAATTTTAAACAGTTTTTCGAACGTGTCTTGCGACAAAGGCCCGACATCAACGACATAATCTGAATTCCTGAGGACGGACCTTTCAAACTTTGCAGTGCTCGTGAACACAACACACGCTCCACTATTTACACCACTCGTCCAAGTGTTGAAGCAACCCAGAGAACGCAGGACAGGAAGCCTACTTGTTGCTGAAGGTACGTTGTCGGGAAACAAAGCACCATGCTCATCGACAATGAAGAGAGTCTTTTTCCCTTGTTGTTGGAGTAAGTCTCCTAATATGTACTCGGCAATAGCTTCCACACTCCCACAATTTGCCATGGTGGAGAGCTCTTTTGCAGTCAAGATATCCTTATTGAGATCTAGGAAGCGTTGACAAATCACTCTTGATGCCCTCACATTCTCCTGACAATCAGCAAGGGTATTTGCGTCAGCGATGTAAAGAACTGGCCAGCCGTGAGCATATGCCTTAGCGGCAAGAAACCATGTTATATAGGACTTCCCGACCCCTTTGGGTCCAGTCAAACATTTTGCAAACCCCAAACCAGTCTCTTTCTTCATCTCTTCCCATAATTCCATCATCTGCTCGGTAACAAGGAGACCTTGAATACCTGTTCCAAAGCCTATTGGGCGTTGACCAAGACTTTCTGTCTCAACTTGATCGCCAACCCTGACATTCTTCAGTGATGAGAAGCTCAAGCGACTTTTCGGCTGGCACCAGGTACTATTGAGCATGTCTGTCATGAGCTTGGGCAAATATACTGTCTCCCCATTGGCTAAAGTATACAACGGTCCTTCGGGTATCGAGGGACGACGGCGTTTCGAATAGCGCCCTTTGAGCATATAAGAATAGTGGGATGGCGTGAGTATGTAATAAATAAACGAGCATCCTCAAGTATCATCAAAACCATAGATATAGTCGGAGTGATCAACTCACCTCTTGAACTCTCGTCTCCTACGTCTTCTAGGTCCCTTTTTGGGCATCTCGGGGCTGTTTAATACCCATAGAATAATAAACAAGAGGATAGTTAGATATGGGGCTTTGATAAAAGCTATGATGATGTAATACACTATCCAATGAGCATGTTGCCACATGCTTCATCAACTGAAAATATCAAAAACCAGTCCGTCGAGAGTGCAATTCGCGAATTGAAAATTCTAATAATCATTTGATCAAACCAGCACCTACAGCTGATGGACGTAAATGAACCCGAACCACGAACAAAAAAAAAAAAAAAAAAAAAAAAACAACGCTGTGAAAGGACGAAAAAAATAGCAGTGGGAGTCTGAGGATGTGTACGGCCATGGGGGAGACTTTTTAAATTCTTTTATAGAGAAGAAATCCAAAGTCGCCCCAGTTAAATAGTTAAGCCGAGATACATCTCAACAACATAAAAAAGAGAGGAGATACCACATGACCGTGTTGGGACAGGAATAAGTTTCATCAGTTGAAAACATAATCATCAGTTCACCAAGAGCTAAATACATACCTTGCGGCGCCTGCTTGACAATAACGGATGCCGTTCGGCTAGTCATCACGTCCAACTTAACTGAACAACCGGGAGAGATATTTACGGCAAAAGATCTTGCTTTCCTCTCAGCAATGCAATGTATTGTTAGCTTGGCTGGCTCGGGAATTTTGGGCTCGTGCTTGGTTGGCTTGGGGATTTTGGGCTCATTAGTGCTTGAAGACCCTTCGTTCGCTTCTCCTTTTCTTTCTTCTTTCTTTCCATACGGTTTATTTTGAGTATTTGGAAGTAGTGATGATATTTCGCTGTTTTCCATTGTGATCTCGAAACTGGTTAAAACAAAGGAAAATGGACAGAGAGCAGAGAATAGGGATATTAGATAGGAATGCTAAAGGATGTTAATTGTAGTAGCAGGATGGTTCAAAGTTTTGAAGTTGTGATAGAGGAAAGAAAATAAAAAGTTGTATGCGCGAAGCAGGGATGAGGTTTTATGTCACCATGATAATAAATTGTTTCAGTCTCGCCACCAGTTCACCAGTCCGAGGTTGAAGCTCACGTGAGGACAAACGCGTATTGCAATCTGTGGCCATCTTAGGTTGATTGCTTATTAGCTGGATTCTCCAAAAATTAAAGTCAAAAATCATATCAGAATTCACCGAGAACCAATAAGCAACGAACAGTCGCCAAACAAGAAGTAATCAGACTTTCTCCATTGGAGATTACAAAAAACTTGGTGAGTTTGCTATTATTATTACTATTATTATCTTTTAAGCATAGCCTAGACAAATCTATACACCAATTTGCGTAAGACTGCAAGACGCGCTTTATTTTATACCCACCAATGAAACTCACAATATCTTTGATTGTGGAATAGCCAGAAACTTTTAGAGATATGTAGTATTGCATCTCCTATCATTCATTCAAGTTTCAGTCGTTTTTAAAGTATACATAACTCAGATGAAAGCCAAGTCGTCGTGGGAGGGTAGCTAAAAGGGACCTCCATAGTCCACATAAAATTGGTCAGACTTTGTCACTGTCTTCTGACGTATTCACTTATCCTACATTGCACTCTTAACAACAAAACACAGTGGTTGGCAGCAATGTGAACATTTTCTGCCTTGCAGACGGAACACCTAGTCTCAGGGGCATCAAGTCGATACTGGACTGAATGCTGCTATATCTGGTCTCTAGTGCTTGAAAGCTAATACGATCGCTTTTTAATTTTTTTTATATTTTTAACCTGTTTCGCATTATTACTTGGCCCTTATCAAATGCATACGTAAGAGCTATTATGCTGGAATAAAAGCATTAAGAGTTCTAAAGTGATCTACCTTGCGTTCGGAACTCGCACTGCTATAGACAATAGCCGCTTGAAGTGACCCTGTGTTCTGTTTACTCAAAATGCCAAAGTAATCTTCACAACCGACTCATTTTACTCCTGTCAATATGCTTCTCAAAAAAGTGGAACTAGTGCAGCTATTCTATTTACCCTTCTACATATTTCGACTTCTATCGAGGAAGAGACCACAATCATAATAGTCAAGGCTACCCTATCAACACTTCAGACAAACAATGTTTATTGCTAATTGTTTACTATGCTTTCACTTCTAAGCTGCATCCTACCCCAAGGATGGCCAGATATTTGAGCCTTTGGAAGTAAGTAGCTTTGATATGTGTGGATTATTGTGTGCTTGCTGGTAGCCTTTAGTTATATGTTGATTTTTTTTTTGTATATTTTTTGGTGGTGCCTTGAATGATTGGCATTGGTGGCCTCTGATTGACTGACTTTGGTCGACTGGCCTTTTCGACTGTCTATGGTTGGCTTTCTTTAGTTGGCTGTCTAGAGCTGGCTGTCTAGAGCTGGCTGTCTGAGCTGGCTGTCTTTGCTTGACTGGCTGTGATTGTCCGGTTTCTGTTATTCGGTCTCGACCATCCGACATCGGCCATCTGGCACCCCTTCGGTTGATTTGGCTGAGACGGAGTGTATTTGCTTCAATCAAACCAGCCTATGTTGCTTTGGTTGGGGGATTCACGGCTATCTTGACTAGCACTGCTCTTAGTGGTTTGATTGAGGCAGCCTGTGCTTGATATGATCAAACCGCCTTACTGTTGGCTTTAATTGAGGTTGCCTTTGGGTGATTTAGTTGAAGCCGCCTATGTCCGGTCTGGCTGCGGGCCACTATGCTTGATCGAGCGGAGGTTGCTGGATGGGACTGCCTTGTATTAACCTTAGTTGCGGAAGTCTTCGGTTGACTATGGCTTTGGCGTTGGCTTTGGCGTTGGCTTTGGCGTTGGCTTTGGCGTTGGTTTGGCATTGCTTTGACTTTTTTTTTTTATTTTTCTTTTTCTCATCTTTTTTTGTTTTTACTCTGTGCTTCGGTTTTTATCTTTTTTTTTTTTTGTTCTTTGTTTTGTGTTTTGTTATTTTTTTTTTTTTTTTTTTTTTTTTTTTTTTTTTTTTTTTTTTTTTTTTTTTTTTTTTTTTTTTGTTCTTTGTTTTGCGTTTTGGTTATTTGCTTTTTATTTTTGTTCTTTGTTTTGTGTTTTAGTTATTTGCTTTTTTTTTGTTGTTGTTATTGCTGGATGCTGGGTGTTGTCTGCTGACTTCTGGCGCTTGACTATCGGCTTTCGGCCCTCGGTTGCTGTCTGCTTTCTGTTGGCCCTGCGTTCCGAGCCGCATTCGAAGCACGGTGCTTCTCGGTCTATTGTTGTGCCTCAGGACCCTCTACTCCCCTTATGAGCCTTGCTCTCACTTCTCCAAGCAGAGGTCTCATTGCAATAGTCTATCGAACGACTAGCCAATGAAGCCTTACTATGACCAGAGCACCTTTGGTTCAGACGGCAGGTAACAGGTCACACAACATGACGCCTTTACGCCATGCACTACACACTACAGCCAGGCGCCTGGTGCAGCTTCGCTAATTGAGGTGATCTAAGAATGGCGTCAGTAACAATGAACTATTTACTAAACACTATAGAGCTCCGAGTTGCCAAGATCCCACCTAAACAGAGAGAACAAAAGCAATGGTAGAATCAAGTTAATATGCTCTTTGCTATGTATGCGCATGTATACTTACCTGAGGTGTTATCAGGCCTTGATAACACCTGATCCTGATCCTGGTCCTGATCCTGATCCTGCTGGAGGGGGGACCTCCTTGAGGGCCGAGACTCGAGCTCTATAGGCCTAGTAAACAGGCCACTGCTACTGACTTACCATACTTGGATGACCACAACTGTGTGTCATCTGTTACCTACGCGAAATCCCCAAAGGCACTCGGGTCAAAGTAAGGTCCAGAGACTAGGGGCTCTCTAGAGCTACTACAATGACCCCCCTTCAAGGAGTTGCGAGGGCCCGGCGGAGGGCTCGGCGGGCCAGAGCCCAAGCGGATGAGCCTCTAAGGGGGAGAAGACAAAAAAAAAACACGTGTGGTTAGAATATTTGGTAATCAGAGCACAGCAGCAGAGTACAGACAGAAAGTCACGACATGTACTCTAAAAGAAACTATACTTACAGCTCCGCTTTCGCTCCGTTTTTGATAAGCACTGCAAGGGCTCATTGCAGTCTTTGGGACAATCGTCGCCGTGCGCCTAGGGCTAGTGGCCCCTGTTACAGCTAGAAGGAGGAAGACAAAAAAAAAAAAAAAAAAAAAAAAAAAAAAGAACGAAGATAGCTTTGTAAGTATGCTAAGCTTATTCATAGTAGGGACAACAGTGGATAATCACAAGCAAGACAAAACGAAGCCATGCATAAACTATATACTTACTTGATGACAGCAGCGAGGGCACTTCTGTGGATGACCAGGTGAGGTTTTTTTTTTTGATTTTTCTGGTCTGTAGTTTGCTGTTGAGTTGCTCAGAGTGTATCCTGGTTCTGCTCTGTAACTGGCTAAGAGTTTGTATCATTTGTGGTCTAACAGTGCTGTAAAAAGAGAGAGAAAGGGAGGTAGACAGGAAGTGAAAAGTCAGAACAAGTACAGTGCAGCATAAGGTGAGAGAGTCGAGGACTTCAGTAAGGGTGAATATTTGTGAAGTGTTGCTTACCTTTCATATTGGTTGAGGAGACTGAGCTGGAAGAGAAGAGAAAAAGCGAAAGAAAAGAAAAGAAAAGAAAAGAAAAGAAAAGAAAAGAAAAGTCTATTTTATATCGAAAGCACTCGCGAGTAAAAGACGAATGGATGAATGATGACTAGTTTTTGAAATTATTACAATAGCTAATTTTTTTTACCTTTGGACCAGGGAAAGCGAGACCGATTCTTCCAAAGTATTGACTGGATAACGAATACATATTCAGCATCTTGCTTTTCCGCGCCTGCCAGGGAGTTTATTAAAAAATGAAATAAAATGAAATATAATATATTACAATAAAATGAAATAAAAAAAAGCGGCGTAACGGGGATTGAAAATGAGTAATTTGCACACCTGTGATATCATCCGTCAATTTTCATATGCTCGCAAGGTGGAGAAAGAGAAAACTCTTACGAGGTGGAGGTGGGAAGAACATTAATAAGATTCCATCCTCAAAGATATGCAGGGTCATATATACATACAACAACAAGAGCACGAGCCACATTGCTCTCTTTGTATGGTGTGCAACAAAGAGAGAAAGAAAAACAGTGAGCGGTGTGATACGACTAAAGTAAAAGGACAGGATTCAGAGCACAAGCTTATCAACACTCACCACATACTTCCATTTTTCACCAGCATTAAGCTCGAGTAGCTTTTTTTCCTTAGCAATGGGGTTCATCAGGCATTATCAATAGAGTTTGCTGTTTGACTCTCTTCTCCCATTCCCTCTCTTCAACCCTAACAAGGAATAGGATGCATTGTCGTGGGAACTGTGCTGCGGCAGTTTTTATCCAAGTGGACTTTTTTCCTTTTTTTCCTTTTTTCTCTTTTTTTTTTTTTTTTTCCTTTTTTCTCCTTATTTTCCATTTCAAAGCACCAAAGAGATACGACACGTCATTTCCTCGATACGATCGTGTGCTTTTTACTGGTCGGCATACAAACGTTGATACTTTGTTTCACCTTCAAATCTTTATATATTCTACATTGTATTGCATGAAAATATAAAATAAAATAAAATAAAAAAATAAAAAAAAAATAAAAAAGGCGCAGAGGTATTATGACGACTGTCATGTGTTACTTCCCACTACACTCTGGAGAAACGGCAAGCTGCCAAAGTACAGTCCCAACGATAGTCTTTCCCATCTCTTGTTAGGATGTTAGGAGTGAAGAAAGAAGATAGAAGAAGAGGATAAGGAAGATGGTCTCCTTTATCATTAAGAGTAAACAAGCTCGAGAGCAATACAGTTCATGCTCTGGTTGTTTATAGACAGATTTCCTTTGCGAGTCTTGAAGATAGAGTATTATTCTCACTTTCAATCGTGAGAGTCTTCTCATTATCATATGAAATACGACAGATGACATCAAAGACACGTATATTATTTTTTATTTTATTGTTTTTTTATTTTGTTGTTTATCTTGTTGATATTTTATTGGTCGCTCTTGAGCGTACAGCAAGCAAGATACTTAGTACATCGCGCCAATCACTCCTCGTCCCTTCTCCTCTTCTTGCGCGAACGTAAAAAATAATAATAAGAAGCCAATATAAAAAGGACCTATTTTGACTCTCTTCTTTTTTTTTTTTTCTTTTCTCTTCTCTTTCTCCTCGGTCTCCTCGACCATCGGCCTCCACAACCAAGACAAAAAGGTAAGCAACACTCCCTCAACAATCACTCTTACTGAAGTTCTCAACACTGTCACTCTGTGCTTCACTGTCCTTGTTCTGATTATTTTCTTTCTGCTTGTCTCTCTCTATTTTTTCCACGATTAGACTACAACGACATGAAGTTGCCTAAAGCAACTGGGGCTTCATAACGCACAGCCAGGCTGCCATGCTCAGGCACCCATCCTCGAACGGCCGCACTCCAACAAAGAGCCGTATCCAACTGGCCACGCTCCAAACGGCCACGCTCCAAACGGCCACGCTCCAAACGGCCACGCTCCAAACGGCCCCGTACAAAAGGCCAGTCTGCCGCAGTCGAACAAACAGGCCTTCTCCACGGCCGTATACCCAGCCCACCCATCTTGGGATGATGGCCAAGGATTCACGAACAACCCCAAATCACAGCAGCTAGGCCACTTCCCACAGCGTGGTCTGGAAGCACTGGTACCAAAGTTCGGCGCCACTAGGCAAAAGGCGAAACCAAAGAGAGGTCGAACAGTCCATCCAGGCAAAAAACAAAAGCCTCCGGAAACAAATGCCTCAAAAAAAAAAAAATAAAAAATAACCCAAAGAAAAAAATAAAATAAGTCAAAGAAAAAAAAACCAAAAAAAAAAAAAAAAAAAAAAAAAAAAAAAGCCAAAAAAAAAAAAAATAAAAATAAAAATAAAAATAAAAATAAAAATAAAATAAAAATAAAAATAAAATAAAAATAAAAATAAAAAACAAACCAAAGAAAAATCAACAATAACAACAACAACAACAAAAACAACAAAAACAACAAAAACAACAAAAACAAAAACAAAAAAACCAAAGAAAAAAAATAATCAAAGAAAAAACTAAAAGCCAACTATTAAAGAAAAAACCAAAGAAAAAAAAACAAAAAAAAAAAAAACAAAAAAAAAAAAAAACAAAAAAGAAAACAAAAAAGAAAACAAAAAAGAAAACAAAAAAGAAAACAAAAAAGAAAACAAAAAAGAAAACAAAAAAGAAAACAAAAAAGAAAACAAAAAAGAAAACAAAAAAGAAAACAAAAAAGAAAACAAAAAAAATCCAAAGAAAAATCCAAAGAAAAAGACTAAATATGAGCCAAAAAAGAAAAAAAAAAAAAAAAAAAAACTCTTACTAACACAAAGCACTTTTTAACATAGCAACAATGCACATCCAAGATGCAACAATCAATGCATATCTAAGGTGGGTCCGAACGGGCATGAGCCTACGCTGGTTCTTGAATGAGCCATGTGGTGGCGGAGCCCCTTCGACTGGGAAAGGGAATGGGAATGGGAATGGGTAAATAAATGTGTGTGTGTGTGTGTGCGGGCGTTTGCAAGGCCATGGGGCCTGACCAACGGAGCACGATATGCCAGACCACCTCCACGTGGTGTGCTCCGGACAACGTCTTGGAGAGTCTTTTCGATGGAGACAAAGGAAAGCATTTTCCAAGATGGCTAAGAGTCTGGCTTCTTGTAACTTAGATAGTAGGCAGGTAAGCTAGATAGCTAGATAGCAAGCAATCCATTAATAAAAAGTGTAAAAATGATAAAGAAAAAGCTTCAGTAGAGACGGCATTGCTTGAATGATAGAAGGGTAACCTATTAATGTACTGCTCAGAAAAATGTTTGTGAAATCTGATCCTAGTCTGTCGACTCGAGCAGCAGGCTTTCATCTCACAAGTCTCATTTTCACATGAAATATGACAGATGGCCTCAAAGGCACGTACGTTGTCCTCTGTAGATGCTCTCTAAGAGACTTGCGATGTAAGTTTGATAACTGATGTAGCAGGATATGATACGATTTGATTCAATGCGATTCAAAACAAAATAAAATAAAATAAAATAAAAAATAAAAAATAAAAAATAAAAAATAAAAAATAAAAACAAGGACAAGGACAAGGACAAGGACAAGGACAAGGACAAGGACAAGGACAAGGACAAGGACAAGGACAAGGACAGGGACAAGGGCAGGGACAAGGACTATCCCAATTAACCAGAAAGTAGTAGGGAGGATGGCTATAGATTGGACAAGTGGAGGGAGTCAAACGCAACAGCCATTCTTCTGGCATAAAAATCAGGTGATTGTGCGCAGTGAGACAAAGCAGAGAAGACATTAATGATTGAATACATGCACGCTCTTTCTTATATACAAGTTTGTCCGCATGTCTGCACTCGAGGTAGCAAATGCAACTCGAGTTGATAATTGAACATCGTGTTTGTTGACCAGCTTGTTACATTTGTTTCTTCAAACCACAACTATGATATGCTACATTCCTACATGCCTGCATATCGCGCTATGATTAGCACAGCCAATGGCCTTTTTATTTATTTCCTCAACCTCTTTGCCTCTTTGCGAAATAAAATTTCTTTTCCCGTTTTCATTGGACTATCAACCGCTCTTTGCGTGTTCAAATTATTGGTCAAAGGCAAATTCACTTTGTGGTGTCACATGTGGAAGGTATTCATTATTCCCATGCAAATAAACATTCTACACAGCCAACACACACAAAGCTTAATCTGACGAATCATTTTTCATTCATGTGCCAAAAGGACATTCCTTAACCCTTTCAATTAATAAAAACGACGACTCAAGCAGAAATGACTAAAAGCAATTGACCCTTAGTCGACGCATATTGCAAAAGTAGGCTGGTAAATAACTTGACCTTTTACTATACCTTGGCAAGAAAGGAAAGTGAATAAGGGCTGGAGCTATTTGTTCACCTGACTGAATTAAAAAATAAGCTATCTCTTACCAACTACCTTAACTTCAAAGAAAATTTACTAAAAAGCCTTGTAACCATCTTGTTTGTTGGAAACTGTACCCCGACAAGAGATATCAAAATCAACACCCATAAACTTAAAGGAAAAGGAAACTGGAGTCCTGGCGTCAGTTTCCGGGGCGATCACCTTGGGTCCAACAACACCTTTATCAAGGTCTATAGAGCACAAAGGAACAAGAAAAAGGTACATTTTTATAAAGCAGTTTGCCACTATCAGGGGATTTTGGCAAAAAGAATTACAGTTTTTTTTTGTAACAATCAACCTTCAGTTGCATCTCACTACTCAAACAGATCTTTTTACTCTTTTATTCTTGTACAATAATGCCGAAAGCAAAATCAGCCAGGGGTACTCGGAATTCGCCAATCTCTAGATCTTCAACCACGAACAACAAATCTCCAGCAAAATCCAAAAACAACGAGTCTCCCAAGCCAATTAAACTGAAACTTTTCTGCCTTGTGGAAGGAGAACCGGCATTCTCAGTGATCATTCGTTCCGACCAAACTATTGACGACTTAAAGGATGCCATTAAAGCAAAGAATGAAAACGCTTTTAATGGTACCGATGCAAAGGATCTTATTCTCAAGCTCATCCCTAATGGTTCAACAGTAGAGGAACTATGCAAGTTTCCTAAAGAGTCACTCAAGGTCCTTGACAACGTACTTGAGGAACTCCATACTTACTTTCCTGACGGGGCAGCAGATAATCCCATTTACATTATTGTTGAAGTACCGAAGCGAGGTATGTCTTTAGTTCTTTTTGGACTGATGGTTTCGATTCAAGGCGTCAAACTGCCTTCTAAAACTATTCTATTTGTTTAAATTTTTACAAAGTTTCGAAAAGAGATCGAGATCAGCTAGAGAATGACGAGAGTGATAGGAGCTCCTCTAAAAAGGTCAAGCTAGAAACCATGAGCCTACTGGAGGCGATTAGTGCAACAGAACTTGCCCAAAAGGCTATAATAAACGGCGTTCCTGATCCCTCCGTCCTTTCGAGTAAAGAACTGGTTTCAGTACTTGATAATACTGGCACCTCAGTGACTCGGAATGACCTATACTATTCAATACCCCGAACGGCCATTTCCCTCCAAAACGCATCATTTCAAGAAATCGACGTGATATCCAGCCCTTGGGGGACAAAATTTCCTGTGCTCAAGGTCCGAGATCTGTACGTAAGATCAGCTTTCAAAGAACTCTACGATAAGATCATCAATAAGTTTGGTATAGACAGAGATATAAAGCCTGATGCCCCCCAAATGGTACTCACAGGGACAGCCGGTATAGGAAAATCATCCTTTCTTGTATACTTTGCTATCCGGCTGCTTGCCACTAGCAATGAGGAAGACCCACCTATTATCATTATCCAGCAAAAGGAAGATACAATGTGTTATGCTTTCGGTGGACGATCTGTTATTCGATATGGGGACATAGAGCATTTTAGGCCCTTCCTGGATCTACCCAGCACTTGGTTCCTAGTCGATAGCTCACCAGCACCAAAGCTCATGCTCGCCAGGACTATCTTTTCAGTGTCGCCAAAAACTTTAAATTCTGAGGAAAATCTGTATAAAGAAATCGTGAAGGGAGTCCCATGGAAATACTACATGGCTCCGTGGGAGCTAGATGAGTTAAAAGAATGCAGAGACAAGGTTGAAGCTTTTCATATGGTTCCGGAAGATTTTATGGAACACCTGTATGAGATGATTGGTGAAGTGCAAAGGTATGTCCTCGAGGTACCGCGTAAAGAACTGGATTTCTACTCCCCAGAGGATCGTTGTAAAAAAAAAGTGAGAGCAGTAGCAGAAAGCAGTGCACTCGAGCGCGTTAATCAAGCCCTTGACAACATCAAGGATCCAATGAAGATACTTCAATACTTTGAACAGACTAAGGATTCACAATGTTACAGCAGCCATCTTCTTCACCGTTATCCGACAAAAGATCATAGAGGATTTCGATTAGTATGGGCTTCAGATTATATCATGGAAAAGGTGCATGATGCAGTGGACGACAAAACTTGGAATGAACTATTGAATCGGCTTGCCAATGGTAGAGTTGGTGAAGGTAGAGGAGCAATGTTCGAGCTTTATATGCGGCGCATACTACGGATAGGCAATCGTTGCTTTCAGGCCAGGAGCCTTCATGACAATACTGAAATAACCATTGATATCAAAGCTAGCCCGGACGTTAAATGGTTCAATACTCTTGAATGTTACAAGGACAAGATGCAAGGATCGCTATGGATCCCAAATAGCAAAAGATTTGCCTGTGTGGATATGTTACTTGCTCCGAACTATCTCCTTCAAGTTACGACGAACAAGGATCATGGCATCAAAAGCAAACCCTTCAAAGCGTTTTTGAAAAGTATGCGAGAAAATAAGTGGATTCACTCCTCTGAGGAGGTTGCACTTATTTTTGTTGTTCCACAAGACCAGATTAAGGAGTTCAAGAAACAAAATTTTAAGACTGGGACAAATCGTGTGGATTCCAAAGCTACAAAGGAACTCCTAGATGTCAAGCAATATATTATGGGGATTGATCTGCAAGCAGAACTTAGGCAAGCACCAAGACGCATGAGAACTAGAAGAACAAGAACAGAGCGGTGAATGGACATGCGAATTAAGGTCATTATAGATGTATATTATTAATAATAAAGTGAAGGTGTGATCCTATCCCTATTGAAAAATGGCTTTTGAAAGAATGCAGGATGTTGGAGTCCTCGTCAGAAAGTCAGAGACACGTTTCTAAATTGGATAGAATACTTTTTTTCGGATACCAAAATTGTAAAGGTTAAGTCAAATTGAGTATTTAAAATAGAGCCTGACCATGTTCAGACGTGAATAGTTGGAAACAGACACAGCCTCACCGCCAGTTTATCGATCACAATCCCCAGAAAACATGTATGGAGCATATGTGCACTATCAGATGTTTGGTAGAGTTGTGATTGGAAGTGGAGCTTTTGAACATGAAGCTGTACAAATTAGCGCTTTCTCTTATTCATTATAGTATTATGATTTTAAATTTTTCTCCCAGCACTCTAGATTTCATAAAGACACGGTTCATGCTTTTTTTTTTTTTTTTTTTTTTTTTTTTTACTAGAATTACAGCTCTATCTAAATATAATAGCGATGGGGATTCCATGGAGATTATATTCTTCATCGAGAGCATATTCCACGCTTGGTAGAGCTTTTTGGAGAGTGACAGACGCTCAAACATGTCGGTGTTTATCTTTCCCAAGATGCTTTCAGTCATGGTCCTCTCTACGGTGCTTATTATGAACGGCAAAGTAAGAGATAAGCCTGGAATATACACGCGGAACACTATCTTCAAAGATGCTTTATAGGCACATCACCTTTTGATCGTCATTTACCATATTGTCTTGCTATCGTTATCCCATCTAATGCTTGATTACCAGATATTCACCTTCTTGATTGTTTTTTTTTTGCATGTCAGTTTGTATCTTAGTTTGTATTTTAGTTTTGGTGCACTTTACATTTTTTTGTTAAAAAAAAAAAAAAACACGCGGTTTACACACAGCTTTTTGCAGTAGTGAAGGCTAAAGGCCTACATGGGTTTATTGATTTCGTCCCTATGTTAAAATAAAACCCTATGTTGTTGCAGACAATGTTTCTTTTTTTGTCTTGACGAGGTAAAGCATTAAATTTTCTAATGAGGCAAGAGCCGATCGTGACTTCGCCACGGTGTCCGGCTCGTATTGTCAAATTCTGGTGATTGCTCTTCTTTGGTTTTCTTTTTGAGATGATCTACCGTCTTTGTCGGTAGAATGTCCGCAGAGAATGCTGTGGTTTCACCATCAATAATGAAAAGAGTGTAATTTCGTCAACATTTGATGTAACAGAGCACTAAATAATAAATGATTTGTGAGAGGTTAAGAGCGAGATTGAATGATGTGAGGTTTGTGCGCTCGTTAAGAATAAATTATGTAAAATACACGCACGTATGGGGCAAAAGTTTAAGCCACCCCTCCATTTTTTCAACCAAGCTAAAAATGCCCATTCATCACTCCACATCACCATTATCCTCCTCCACATTATTCTCCTCCACATTATCTTCCCCATTATTTGATTATCTTTGTAAATACACTTTGCTCACTCTCTTCCTCAAATATACCACGTTCGAATTGATTACGCGATAAATTCGAGGTAATTATGCTTAATTTAATTAATTAATTGATTAATTAGTGAGTGATTACTCGTTTGCGCGTCTGATTATCTCCCTTTTTATTATTCACTCTCTTTCTGCACACCTATTTTTTTCTCACTCTTTCTTCAACTATTTCTCTCTCTCTCTCTCTCTCTCTCTCTCTCTCTGTATCTTCTTGTCTTGTTAGCCACACTTTCAAACCCCTAAATCTATTTTTCGAAGGTGCGTTTTTTTTTTTGTATTTTTTATTTTATTTTATTTTGTGGGTCTAAAAGAGCTGGTTGGATCGTTGTTTTCGGTGCCCAATGTGTGGTGGGCAGGTAAGAGCCTGCTAGTCTTATCGAGATGTGCAGGTCCCTGTCTAGGCCTTGGGTGGGGAAACGCGGTTCGTGGTGTGATCGTTGTTTTCGGTGCCCAATGTGTGGTGGGCAGGTAAGAGCCTGCTAGTCTTATCGAGATGTGCAGGTCCCTGTCTAGGCCTTGGGTGGGGAAACGCGGTTCGTGGTGTGATCGTTGTTTTCGGTGCCCAATGTGTGGTGGGCAGGTAAGAGCCTGCTAGTCTTATCGAGATGTGCAGGTCCCTGTCTAGGCCTTGGGTGGGGAAACGCGGTTCGTGGTGTGATCGTTGTTTTCGGTGCCCAATGTGTGGTGGGCAGGTAAGAGCCTGCTAGTCTTATCGAGATGTGCAGGTCCCTGTCTAGGCCTTGGGTGGGGAAACGCGGTTCGTGGTGTGATCGTTGTTTTCGGCGCCCAATGTGTGGTTTCCCGGAAAGCCCCTCTTGTATTCACAGTGATTCAGATGTTCCCCTGGATGGACCTTGAGTCGGGTGTCTTGCTGATTTCTTCTGTCTTCGAAATCCTATTCCTGGATAGCAAAAAAAATACATCTATATCATTACTCTCTAATCATATTGTTTCCTCTTATATCATTACGCTTAAGGCTATGTCCTGCAAGGAACACTATGAGTGGCTTGCTCAACCAGTCCGTCACTCCATAACGACATTCTGTGAGCGATTTGAGTACACTGACAGTGAACAAGCCTATTCTGACTTTGAAAATCTTATCAAAAATTCTTTCCTTAAAATTTCTGCCAAGGAAAAAATTCTGAAGAATTTCGAGTCGTGGAAAGCAAATAAGAGCAATGTTGATATGTTTTGGCTTGAAAGGCAGTCGAACGTGGCTATAAAGAAAGGAAAAAAGATCGCGTCCATAAGTTTAATTGAAGCGTCGACGTCAAATCTCGCCAATATAATAAAGGAACAAGTAAGTTTTACACCTGCAGGAGTTGTTGTATCATTATTAACCCAGTGTCTAACGATGGATTTACTTTTTAGGATGATAACTTGCCTAAGACCCAACACCAGCAAGGCTTTGAGAATAATGCTTCGAATTCTCAAGGTATATTTTTGGGATTGTATTTATTGTTATTATTATTACTATTATTATTATTAAATTGGATATTAAATTGGATTTAAAATAGAAACAAGGCCAATTTCCCAAGTTTCATCAAAACTATCAGGACCATCATTGCTCTCACCCTCCTCACCCTCCTCACCCTCCTCACCCTCCACATCTTTTACGCCAGGCCCACCATTATCATCCTCTCCATCATCATCCTCAGCAGTATCAACACCATCGTCATCACCCTCAGCAGTGTCTTCGTCGTCACCATCATCATCATCAACAACTTCTTCTACCAATAAAAGGCAAAAAACGAACTATATAACCGAAGAGCCATGGCACAGTCTTACGATCTCTTTGACTAATATTGTAAAGTGAAATTATGCACATATTGGATATAAAAATATACGATATATATAGATTTTTAAGACAAATGCCTTTGCTTTGTGATTGTATTAGTTGAATGGAGGAAAGAACACGGCTTTCCCAGAGCCCTCACCTATGATGCTTCCTGTTCATGCTGTACTATTTGATCATGCTGTGAAATCCCTCCAAGCCTATGAAGCCCAACCACCGAAAGAGAAAGACATTGTCCTGCTCAAAGACGCCCAGTAATGTCTTACAATTTTACTATAACTAACGTGTTTCTACTCATATTAATAATTATCAGTACTAATTACGAACCGTATTTTCTATTTTCTTAAATACCAGGGTGGCTATGTCGTGTGTTTTAAATACAATGTCTGAACGGGCATGTGAGCATTTCAGTCAATCAAAAAAAGAGGTTTTGGTTGAGGATGCAAAGTCCTTGAGTATCATTGCAGATTTTGAGGATCACCCTTCTTTACAATTCCTCCAGAATTACATTGGTATATTAAGAGAAAAAGGCGTGATCTATTTAAAAAAAAAGGTGGTTGCAGATCGTGGTATTATCAATGGAAAATATCTTGACGAGGTGTTGCCTGACAATGTGTCCATTGAGGACAAAGTGCTTAAGATCCTTGAATACCTGTAAGTTTCATTTTGCTGTTTCAATTTGCTCATACCTGAATGCTCTTACTAGCTGATTTTTTTATTTTTATTTTTATTTTTATTTTTATTTTTATTTTTATTTATTTTTATTTTTATTTATTTTTATTTTTATTTATTTTTATTTTTATTTATTTTTTCTTTAATCTTAGGTGTGGATTTATTATCCACCCGCCGTTCCTGACATCATCACCCTCGGAAAATGATTGCCTTCATGTCTGGGTATCAATATTTGAGGTTATAGCTGACAGGATTTCATTGCACACGTAATCCTTTTTTTTCTTTTTTATTTTTTGTTTTATTTTTTCTTTTTTTTTTTTAGTTGTTTCAGCACTATTCATGCTAAGTATCATTTTTTGATCATAGAGGGGAGAAAGCACTAAAGGCGTCAAAGATCATGAGAAAAATGCAATCTGATGAGTATGGTGATATCAGCGAAACCGGAAGGAAAGTCGATTGTCTCTTTGTTTTCGATGGAATTGAGATTTCCAATATCGAATTCAAGTCACCTGAGATTTGTGATAAGGAGTTGGCCATTCAAAATCGTAAGAATATTCGACTAGCTCGTTGTATTCAGGAATTTCACGTTGAGATTGGTGCCAGTGATTTCAGCGTGTTAATGGCAGATATCTTTGGTGAGTCAGACGTCTATTTTGGTTTACATTCAATAAATATATAGTATCCAAGATATCATTTATATCTAATAATTTACCATAGGTTTCAGCGGCATTTTTTACCAAGTAAAACCGATGGGCGATATAGCCATCGCAGGGAAGACTACCTCAACTGTAGTTCAAATTCCTAGGACAGCTGGTGAACTTGAAGATTTTCTTGAAGGCAGTTCGCTTGCCATCATATGGAACTTCATTGTAAGAATAATGCCTCATATTTATACTATGTTTTGCTTCTCGGTTTAACTAATTTAATTGTCATCCAGTCTTCTTTAGAGAAACAAGGACCATGTATTGTACGGGCAAAGGAGCGTTTTGACGCAATGCAAGTCAGAAAAAAGCTCGCACACGCAATTACAGGACCACGACAACATACCCCCCCGCCTGTGAATAGAGCATTTCGAAACAACGTCACGCTAACCCCATCAAAAAAAAGAACCTGGACAATGAGTGACGTAAAATCATAGACTTATATGTTATTTGGTTTTCTTTCCTTCTTTATTTCTTATTTTCCATTTGTTTTTCATTTTTGTTCATGTATTTTTTTCCCTAGATGTATGACTTTATTTTTCATATTATTGATTTTTTTTTTTTTTATAAAATAAAATAAAATAATATAACTTTATGCATTAGTATTTTATTCTTGATATCCATCGCGAGCCATTTCAACTGTATCGCCCATTTCATTTGGTCACGATCCCAATATTTCTAATCTAAAAACGATGATTGAATTGGTTTGGTGGCATCTCACTACCCGTAACGAGCTTGCAACAAGCGAGCCGATTGGCTGCCAATACACTCGAGAGTATTCGAAAATATAAGGAATCGCGACCAAATGAAACGGGCTATCCCTTCGACCGAGGACTCCTGTAAAAAGTGCAGTAGACCAGTGTAAAGATATTGGCTCTCACAGCCAAATATTCTTTTGACCAGTTAAATTGGCAAATATTTTTTTTTGTACAACACGTAAACCAAGAATGGCAATGAATATTCTAGCAAAACAACAATTTTTGCATCATCAATTTGGTTATTTAGATTTAACATATTCCTGTCTCGCCTTTAGAGATTTTTTCTTCATTCAACACTACACCATGCCACGTTCAAAGAACTATCAACGTCTTGATTCTGGTCTTCGTCAAAAAATTATCAGCTCCATCTTTGATGAAGGATTGACTTAAAAAGACACTTTGAATGATAATGGACATGTTTACTTGCGATTGCCTTCCTACACCCCTCATCTCAATGCGGCCGAATGGGTCTTTAGTAGCATCAAGAGGCATGTACGGCGTCAAGAGCTTCAAAACCACGAAATATTGACAAAGCATATCAATGATGGTATTCTCAAGATTGACGCAAAAATGTCCAGGGATGGATCCCAGTGCTCCTATTCGAACTGAAATTTTGTCAATTGATATTTATTTTTTTTATTTGAAACATCATAATTGACAAAATTTCAGTTCGAATAGGAGCACTGATGGATCCGCGAAGTCAATAGAAATTTTGTCCTTGCAAACAGAGGCGAACCTTTGGGTAGATTTTACAACAGTACCCACCAATAAAAAAAATAGCCAAATTGATCCAAAAATTGTTGTTTTGCTGGAATATACAGCGTTTTTAATTGTTTTCGCTAAGTAAAAATAAAGTTTCTCTATGTTTATTTTACATTTCTCCAATGAATAAAAAAAGTTGTCCAAAGTTAAGTTAAAAAGTTAGCCGAAAAGGGCGGAGAAATTTATCCGAGTGTTTACAAATTTTGTCCAACCATGCAGTTCAAACATTCCAGAAGGTCATGCGGAAACAACCATGGAACCTTGTGATTTTATCGGCGCGTCCTGAAAATTATCCACCGCGTTGAATTTTTTTCTTGGAATTCAAAAAAAAAAAAGAAAAAACGCGTTGTAAAGAGCATGGCGCGTTGGCGCGTTGGCACAATACCAGAAGGCAATGGTAGTTTCCTTGCATTGAGGGACCCATGTATAAAAGGAAGTGGGGTTCAAAGAAAAAAAAAAACCAAAGTTACCACCGCTTAGATTTTTCAATCAAGTTCACCTCAACACTCCAAATCACCAAAACCACATTCACTATGGCATCTAGCAAGAACCAACCTGAAATTATCAACTTGGTTGACACCGATGACGAAGAGTTCTACGTTGACCTCGAGGCTCAGGAAGCCGTCTTGAACTGGGATGATAGCTCTAGTGTATGTGTGATCTTGTCAGTTTCATACCCTAAAAATATTTCATCTTCTTGGTTATTAACATTTGTTCTGTGTTCCGCGATATACAATAGGCTATTGAGATCAAAACCGAAGGAAAAGATAGCGATATTGCCACCCCTCAGCCGCGCGCACAGGACTCGGGGTATAACAGTAGCTCTTCCAGGCCCCATCTTCAAAATCTATATCGTCATGCTTATGATGGCGGCATTTCGTTCGTTCATCTAGGTTCCTCATCACAGTCTCGTACTCGAACTCTTCGATTGATAGCAGAGGAAGAGAGCGACGATGAGGTAGACCCATACAATCCTTGGACACCTCCCACATATACTGGCCACGAGCTTGACTTTGGTACACCTGCCGTGGATGCGCCTGCTCCCGAAATCCCTGTCATTGGTTCATCTGTCGCTAGCGAGCCTATTGACAGAAACAATAACAAAGGGAAAGGACCTAAGATGACCTGTATCTATTCCCAGCACCAATTTGACGAGAATGAACTAGAAAGAGAGCTCAACCAATCACCTAGGGCTCCTTTTGACCAGGTTGAATATGACTCTGCCCTCGAATTTGAGGAGCCAAGTCTGAGAGACATGTGCCGTAAAAGGAAACGCAGCAGGCCTACCGAGTATTCAAAAGTCCCGGAAGAGGCCTCCCAAAGGCTGATCGACTACTGGACCAATCACATGTGTACAGTAGCCGAAGCGGCTAGAGCGGTGCACCTGAATCCAAGGACCGCTTGGAGGTAATAATCAAGTTTGATGGTAATTTGTACTAAACAACACCTCGGAATATTATTGCTAGTTATGCTCATTTGGAATTTTCTTATAGGTATAGCAATCATTACAGGGAAACAGGCAAGCTCCCTTCCAAGAAGCCCCGAGTGGTGTTGCGATTAGCAGTCATTTACATGGGTTTTTACTATAGCTAAGATTTTTACCCTTTTTATTTAACGAAGATCCCTGGATCATAATAAACACATCTTTCTTTCGTTCTCGTTACTTATTATGATCCTGGCATATTCCAAGTGGTTCCAAAGCTGACAACAGAGCACTACAAGTACATAGAGGATTTCTTGGACGAAAAGCCTCTTTCGACGCTCATGGAAGTCCACAAGGCTCTCCACGACAGTTTCCCTGAAGTCCAAGTGTCTCTTTCTACGGTCTACAACTATGTCACAAATATGTGTGAGTATACACTCAAGCGCATCAGAAAGGTCTCAGATAAACGAAATGACCCCGCCGTGCTCACAGCGAGAGAGAAATTTGCCGAGAAGATGCAGAACCCTGTGGACCACCAAGACTTCGAGAAGAAGACCATTTTCATTGATGAGGCAGGGTTTAACCTGCATTTGATTCGAGAGTACGGATGGTCCCGAAAGGGAAAACCTGTCAACGTTGTGCGTCCTACCGCGTGTGGTAGGAATATCAGCGTTGTAGGTGCAATTTCATCGACTGGGATCATCTGTATGTCAGTAACTACAGTGGATCTTGATGATGAAGAATTGGTGGGGGAAGAGGATCAAGTTGAGGCTCCGGATAACAGTGGTCGTGGGGGCCGTGGCCGTGGTAGGAATGCAGCACGACCTCCGCAGGTGTCCGAGGACGGTATAGTTGGTTGCTCAACAACGGGCGCCTATTTTAGGGACTTCATTTGTGAAGTCCTTGAGATATCGGCGGCTAAAGAGATGCATGGATATACTTTCCTAATGGATAATGCGCGTATTCACAAGTCTCCGCTAGTCAGGGACCTCATAGAAGAAGCAGGGCATTTTTGTGAATATCTACCCCCATTCTCACCGTTCCTGAATCCGATTGAAGAATGCTGGTCAAAAGTCAAGAACACGTTCAAGAGGAGCCGCCTTGAGGCTGGTGAGACCATGCGCTCTAGGTTTCAGGACGCATTCAAGTCCATATCTCGGAAGGATTGTCAAAGTTGGATTCGTCATGCAACCACCTTCTTCCCAAGGTGTCTCAACAGAGAATATAATCTCTAGGTCTGTGAGAGTTCAGTGAAAAAAAAAAAAAAAAAAAAAAAAAAAAAAAAAAAAAAAAAAAAAAAACGCTAATATTTAGGATAATATGTATGTAAAGTTACTCAAATTGGTCGCCTATCTTGCTAATAAAGACATGATGTTTGGATAATTCTAATAATCGGTTCGGTTATCAGTTTGGAGAACTTGATAATATTTTAGACACATTCGGATAACTTGTGGGATAATTTTATTAGCTTAAATTGGATAAATCTTGTTTTTCTTTGGAGAAACTCAAATTGAAAATAGCGAATCCATTTTTTAAATGGCGAAAACAATTAAAAACACTGTACATTGCCATTCTTGGTTTACGTGTTGTACAAAAAAATTTTTTTTTGCCAATTTAACTGGTCAAAAGAATATATTTTTTGAGTAACCTCCGAATGTATTGCAGCGAATTAGTTTGCTTGAAATGAGCCCGCCGCCAATTTTCTGCATCCGTGGGAAGAAATAAGTGCCTAATTTTTTTCCGAACGATTTCAATAGCAAATCGTTCGGATAATCAAAATTCGACTGAACGTGAAATAATCATCGCCACACCTTTTTTTAAGGTTTACTAAATTAATGATTCTGTGCGCGGCACTTTCCGATCAAACCACACTGCCATCCTTTTGCTTTTTGAGTGTCTTTTCCTTATCTGCTTCTAATACAAAACAAAGGCCCTTTCACTCAACCAGCGACAGACACCCATTAAAGTAAAAAACAAAAAAAAGTAGCCAAAGATACCGTGTTGTTCTGGGTGGATTGACGGGGAGGTTTTTTTTATTTTATTTTATTTTAGCAAGAGGGAACAAAATAACGGGGTGGCTTTAATAATTTACCTTCAAATGAAATTGAATCTCTTCCATGTCTCCATTGTAATCGCTGTTGAAAAAAACTATCACACTTTTAGAACACCCAGATACAAAAAAGCAAGCAAGATTTCCAAGTCATTTGGTACATCACCTTTGCCTGAGGAGGATATTCGCGTCATTGTTCAGCGGCCAGCGACAGGTATGGGACTTAGCTGTTAGTTCTCTATTCAAGAATTTTGTATATAACATTGATTGTTACAATCTGTGCATGACATCATCGCTGCACAAGATCGACCATTGATAGTTGTGGGTTTCACCTGTTTCTCAAAAAAGGTTTTTTTTTTCTTACAACGGCTCATTCTCACTCGCACGCACTTATTTATCTTTATTGTTGCATTTATTATTGAATAGGCCTCTCCGCCTCAACACAAGGTAAAGACTTAAACGCCGGGCTAACAAATAGCATAATAGACTTTTCTCAAAAAGTCGCTCCGTGTCTCTTGCATTGATGTAGATTGAGCCTATTTCTCAATCAAGCCCGTTTTCTTTTTTTCTGTTTTTGTTTTTTTTTTTGAAGGAGCTTTATTTGCCAAGAAACCAGGTAATGGATCATTGTTGTTGTGTACATCTTAGGATTTCTCGAGTTGCGTGAATTGTGCTGTCTAACAGTTTGGCTTTACCATTGATCTCTCAAGAGATATATCCTGGAGAACGCGAGGAAGGCCCTGACGCTCTTGTTTTTATATCCGAAAGCCGTCTTCAGAGCATAGCTCAACACATATTGCAGCGAAAAGTCACTCTTCTCCGTAGCCCACCATATTCTGGAAAGACATCTCTGGGCTATTCTTTGCGAGATTACTTCATAGGACACAACCTAAACGCCATTTATTTCACTTTCTGTGCTGCTTATGCCTCGGCAACCCCTGAAGACTTTAAGACATCTTGGCTGTTTCAGAATGGAAGAACATGGGACCAAGTGATTCACAGCGAAGAACTAACCATTGTTATTATGGACGACACACAAATGGTATATGGGAATCGCATGAAATTCTTTTGGGATGACCTGAAATCAATCATGACAACTAGCCTATTCCCTCAAGTTCGAATTTTGCTGCTCGCGTCGTATGATCCAGCTGTGTATACCGAACCGACCCCACTTCATTTCACCGAGGCACTCGGGATGGAGTCGCTCAGAATGACGAAGGAGGAATACTATGAGCTAGTCAAGGCATAAGCCTAATCACTTTTCCAAGTTCCTTCATATTCTGGGGGTTCTTCGGGATTGCTCCATGGCCTACCTGATACACCAAAACAATTTTGCCCTCGAAACGAGCTTCCAGGAAAGCAACTTCACCCAAACCAAAGAATACGCCGAACAAGCGAAAGTTCAAATGATTACCCTTGAAAAACTTTCGCATACGCACAAGTGCCTGTCCCATTGTAATCTCAAGTTTGCGAATATCTGAATGTTTGGAGCTCTGGCGGTTGTTCTTCTTCACTTCAACGGCCATCATGGCTATAATCAGACCATTCCGAAGACCCATCTTTATATTGAGGATATATAGTCATGCCTCATCTAGCCGTCCTTTGTTCAGGTGTGGCTGGTTTAATACACCGCATCTTTGGAGACATTTCCATGTCGATCATGAACACGGCCTCGACGCTCGTGCAACAATCAAAGTTATTTGTCCATCGAGCTGCTTTAGAATATTGGTCATCCTCAATAAGCCTGACACCTTGAACCACTTTTTTAAGGTTGGCTTTGTGTTCGCTTGTTAGGGACCTGTTGTATTTGAACCTATATGCATTAAATTGCTTATATTGCACACCGTCAAATACTAGCATTTCTGCAAAGTCCTGCCAGCTGTTATTGGACTCTTGGTCATCTATCCTCACTCTCTTATTTTGACCATCATCCTTATTTTAACCAGGGATATATAAAGCAGGGTCAGTAAGAAAGTGATGTATTCAATTACTACCATGAATAATGACTTAACAGGAGATCTTAGCCCGCATAGAAAAGCTGTCAGCGCTTTACCTGGTTACTGTTAGAGGACTCCGCCGCTTTGGTCAGTTTCAAGAGCGCTTTTCCATAGTTCTTTGTACCTTTCGCTTGAAACATGATAGTAATCGAACTCAGCACTCGCTCGATACGTCCAATGTCTCCTTCCTTAATAGCCGCACATAACTTAAGGTAAAATACCAATCCTTAATGAATTGGAGCATATTTCTTGCCCCAACCCAAAGATCTTCTGAACTCCTTGGATCTGTCAGAGTTTGTTCACAAACATAATCTAATCCAGATCGAACAAGGTGATCCATTCCATGCACACACCTTTCCTTGAATTGACGTTGGCTATCTCCACCTCCTTCAGTCTCAGCCTCAGGCACGCTCTCTGCTGTAAAGGGCTGCTTACCATCAGACAGATCTTCGGCATTCAAATGCCGCATCCAAAGCGTTCTGACCATTGCATCAAAAACAAGCCAAAGGAACTCATCCAGGGCGCGATAATCTTGTGATTGAAACGCCAAGCGCCTTCGATCTAAACAAGCCACAAAATACGCCAGCGAACCTTCGGTAGACTGAGATCCATAATGTGCCTTAAATATGGTGGATGCAAGATTCATCTGAAGATGGAATAGTTGCATCACTGGAAGTGCCCACTCCAAACGATCGAACCTGGTGATATCCGTCATGCGCCACTCTTGAGCGGAGTTTATACGAGAGATAGTAAGCTGGTCGCCTCCGACGATGACCAACTTACCCTCAAACCAGCTCCTTTTCAGTTTAAGCATCTTCACACAAACCGTCTCTACAACCTCGATGTTCCCCGCGGTCGAGGATTGATCTATGTTCATCGTTGGTAATGGAAACGTTACTGATGGCCTTGCTTCAAGGACGTCGATTTTGTTCATATGAACTGCTTGCTGGCGAAACTTGTCCGAATACCGCTGCAAGGCCTCAGAGATATGAAAATGATGCATGGCTTTCAGATGATTGTTATCCGGTATCAGCTCATGCAGTTTAAGGGGAGTGTTATCATATATCGTCGGGGAAAGCTCATCAAGCTGTTCATCTATGATGATTGTCGCTGTCGTACCGCTCTCGAATGTGTCTTGATTGTCCTTTCGTTGATCCTCTTTCCGGTTTGCGATATTGATATTGCCGTATACCAACATCCATGGATTATTGAGAACTTGTTCACGAACGGTCTCCAAGGCAACTTTGGTCAAATACTTGAGCATGTTTGACGTTGTATCATAAGAGACGCACACGCAAGTGGATGAGAGCATCCTGATAGCCCTCTTACTGCACCCATTTCCACGGAAGAAAAGCCCTAAAAATGTCTGCAATAGATTTATTTGCCTGCTGATTCTTATGGAACATCAGCATACTTGCGATAAATGGTACTAGAATCCCTCGCTGCCGCGACGAGCGCCCATTGCTGCTAGAAAAACCTGCCAACGTCGACGTCAAAATCGGTGCATGCTCTTCCAAAACCTCGGTCATGCGACCAAATGAGAAACATTTGAAAAAATCAGGAGTAAGTCCTTCCTCAGGACAATGAAAACATTTCTTTGTAGACATTTGTTGCATTTCCTTCGCGACGTGTTCAGTAACAATCTCCATTGCCGACCAGACAAAAGATCCATCCCTTGAGACAGTCCTGTTAGATTTCCAAAGGCCCATCACCCTCGCTGGACCACCTTTGCTTTCGAATAAGCCAACCCTGTGCTTGACGAAGGGATCGTTTGAGTTGAACGCTAACTCAAGGAAAGTCGACGGTGACATCTTTTCATTATTTAGTATCTGGAAGATCTCGCGAACAGCTTTCTCGTGCTTTTTATCGTTTGAAGAGTTTTCGTTGATAAAAGTCATGGAAAACATGTTTGATGGTCTATTATCTAACATAGAAAGAGATCAGTTCAGTTACCTCTTGTTTAAAGCTTGAAACCTTATCAACGATTGACGAAGTACATCCGGTTTAACATTTACCTGAGATTGAGACTTGAGATAAATATCAAGTGAGGATTTGGAAGAAGTGGAGAGCTTTTGCTGAGGAAATTAGGGGATAGGGAAGTAAGTGAAGGTAAGATGTGGGTTTGACATACCATGCCCATGGGTATTTATTCATTTTTCGTCCAGGGAAGAGCACCATGGTGTAAATTTTTTTTTTTTTTGATGGGTGCCACTTCGGGAATATTCACCGCTGGTAATTGCCGGACTAGTGTGCCAGGATGTTTTGAATTAGAATGCAGCAGTACATTGTATCACTCAAGTTGACTGGCGAAAAAAAATAAAAATTGGTGCTCACGGTAAAAATTTCTGACAGGAACAGCAATATATCAAACTGAGACATGTGTCAACTGTGTGCCGCCAGGTTGTAGGGCTATGGAGTGATTATTGAGATAGATTCCGCATTTATCAGTTGTGTCTTCCCATATCGCTCTCTGGGACAATCGACTTTCCTTCCGGTTTCGCTGATATCACCATACTCATCAGATTGCATTTTTCTCATGATCTTTGACGCCTTTAGTGCTTTCTCCCCTCTATGATCAAAAAATGATACTTAGCATGAATAGTGCTGAAACAACTAAAAAAAAAAAAGAAAAAATAAAACAAAAAATAAAAAAGAAAAAAAAGGATTACGTGTGCAATGAAATCCTGTCAGCTATAACCTCAAATATTGATACCCAGACATGAAGGCAATCATTTTCCGAGGGTGATGATGTCAGGAACGGCGGGTGGATAATAAATCCACACCTAAGATTAAAGAAAAAATAAATAAAAATAAAAATAAATAAAAATAAAAATAAATAAAAATAAAAATAAATAAAAATAAAAATAAAAATAAAAATAAAAATAAAAATAAAAAAATCAGCTAGTAAGAGCATTCAGGTATGAGCAAATTGAAACAGCAAAATGAAACTTACAGGTATTCAAGGATCTTAAGCACTTTGTCCTCAATGGACACATTGTCAGGCAACACCTCGTCAAGATATTTTCCATTGATAATACCACGATCTGCAACCACCTTTTTTTTTAAATAGATCACGCCTTTTTCTCTTAATATACCAATGTAATTCTGGAGGAATTGTAAAGAAGGGTGATCCTCAAAATCTGCAATGATACTCAAGGACTTTGCATCCTCAACCAAAACCTCTTTTTTTGATTGACTGAAATGCTCACATGCCCGTTCAGACATTGTATTTAAAACACACGACATAGCCACCCTGGTATTTAAGAAAATAGAAAATACGGTTCGTAATTAGTACTGATAATTATTAATATGAGTAGAAACACGTTAGTTATAGTAAAATTGTAAGACATTACTGGGCGTCTTTGAGCAGGACAATGTCTTTCTCTTTCGGTGGTTGGGCTTCATAGGCTTGGAGGGATTTCACAGCATGATCAAATAGTACAGCATGAACAGGAAGCATCATAGGTGAGGGCTCTGGGAAAGCCGTGTTCTTTCCTCCATTCAACTAATACAATCACAAAGCAAAGGCATTTGTCTTAAAAATCTATATATATCGTATATTTTTATATCCAATATGTGCATAATTTCACTTTACAATATTAGTCAAAGAGATCGTAAGACTGTGCCATGGCTCTTCGGTTATATAGTTCGTTTTTTGCCTTTTATTGGTAGAAGAAGTTGTTGATGATGATGATGGTGACGACGAAGACACTGCTGAGGGTGATGACGATGGTGTTGATACTGCTGAGGATGATGATGGAGAGGATGATAATGGTGGGCCTGGCGTAAAAGATGTGGAGGGTGAGGAGGGTGAGGAGGGTGAGGAGGGTGAGAGCAATGATGGTCCTGATAGTTTTGATGAAACTTGGGAAATTGGCCTTGTTTCTATTTTAAATCCAATTTAATATCCAATTTAATAATAATAATAGTAATAATAATAACAATAAATACAATCCCAAAAATATACCTTGAGAATTCGAAGCATTATTCTCAAAGCCTTGCTGGTGTTGGGTCTTAGGCAAGTTATCATCCTAAAAAGTAAATCCATCGTTAGACACTGGGTTAATAATGATACAACAACTCCTGCAGGTGTAAAACTTACTTGTTCCTTTATTATATTGGCGAGATTTGACGTCGACGCTTCAATTAAACTTATGGACGCGATCTTTTTTCCTTTCTTTATAGCCACGTTCGACTGCCTTTCAAGCCAAAACATATCAACATTGCTCTTATTTGCTTTCCACGACTCGAAATTCTTCAGAATTTTTTCCTTGGCAGAAATTTTAAGGAAAGAATTTTTGATAAGATTTTCAAAGTCAGAATAGGCTTGTTCACTGTCAGTGTACTCAAATCGCTCACAGAATGTCGTTATGGAGTGACGGACTGGTTGAGCAAGCCACTCATAGTGTTCCTTGCAGGACATAGCCTTAAGCGTAATGATATAAGAGGAAACAATATGATTAGAGAGTAATGATATAGATGTATTTTTTTTGCTATCCAGGAATAGGATTTCGAAGACAGAAGAAATCAGCAAGACACCCGACTCAAGGTCCATCCAGGGGAACATCTGAATCACTGTGAATACAAGAGGGGCTTTCCGGGAAACCACACATTGGGCGCCGAAAACAACGATCACACCACGAACCGCGTTTCCCCACCCAAGGCCTAGACAGGGACCTGCACATCTCGATAAGACTAGCAGGCTCTTACCTGCCCACCACACATTGGGCACCGAAAACAACGATCACACCACGAACCGCGTTTCCCCACCCAAGGCCTAGACAGGGACCTGCACATCTCGATAAGACTAGCAGGCTCTTACCTGCCCACCACACATTGGGCACCGAAAACAACGATCACACCACGAACCGCGTTTCCCCACCCAAGGCCTAGACAGGGACCTGCACATCTCGATAAGACTAGCAGGCTCTTACCTGCCCACCACACATTGGGCACCGAAAACAACGATCACACCACGAACCGCGTTTCCCCACCCAAGGCCTAGACAGGGACCTGCACATCTCGATAAGACTAGCAGGCTCTTACCTGCCCACCACACATTGGGCACCGAAAACAACGATCCAACCAGCTCTTTTAGACCCACAAAATAAAATAAAATAAAAAATACAAAAAAAAAAACGCACCTTCGAAAAATAGATTTAGGGGTTTGAAAGTGTGGCTAACAAGACAAGAAGATACAGAGAGAGAGAGAGAGAGAGAGAGAGAGAGAGAAATAGTTGAAGAAAGAGTGAGAAAAAAATAGGTGTGCAGAAAGAGAGTGAATAATAAAAAGGGAGATAATCAGACGCGCAAACGAGTAATCACTCACTAATTAATCAATTAATTAATTAAATTAAGCATAATTACCTCGAATTTATCGCGTAATCAATTCGAACGTGGTATATTTGAGGAAGAGAGTGAGCAAAGTGTATTTACAAAGATAATCAAATAATGGGGAAGATAATGTGGAGGAGAATAATGTGGAGGAGGATAATGGTGATGTGGAGTGATGAATGGGCATTTTTAGCTTGGTTGAAAAAATGGAGGGGTGGCTTAAACTTTTGCCCCATACGTGCGTGTATTTTACATAATTTATTCTTAACGAGCGCACAAACCTCACATCATTCAATCTCGCTCTTAACCTCTCACAAATCATTTATTATTTAGTGCTCTGTTACATCAAATGTTGACGAAATTACACTCTTTTCATTATTGATGGTGAAACCACAGCATTCTCTGCGGACATTCTACCGACAAAGACGGTAGATCATCTCAAAAAGAAAACCAAAGAAGAGCAATCACCAGAATTTGACAATACGAGCCGGACACCGTGGCGAAGTCACGATCGGCTCTTGCCTCATTAGAAAATTTAATGCTTTACCTCGTCAAGACAAAAAAAGAAACATTGTCTGCAACAACATAGGGTTTTATTTTAACATAGGGACGAAATCAATAAACCCATGTAGGCCTTTAGCCTTCACTACTGCAAAAAGCTGTGTGTAAACCGCGTGTTTTTTTTTTTTTTTTAACAAAAAAATGTAAAGTGCACCAAAACTAAAATACAAACTAAGATACAAACTGACATGCAAAAAAAAAACAATCAAGAAGGTGAATATCTGGTAATCAAGCATTAGATGGGATAACGATAGCAAGACAATATGGTAAATGACGATCAAAAGGTGATGTGCCTATAAAGCATCTTTGAAGATAGTGTTCCGCGTGTATATTCCAGGCTTATCTCTTACTTTGCCGTTCATAATAAGCACCGTAGAGAGGACCATGACTGAAAGCATCTTGGGAAAGATAAACACCGACATGTTTGAGCGTCTGTCACTCTCCAAAAAGCTCTACCAAGCGTGGAATATGCTCTCGATGAAGAATATAATCTCCATGGAATCCCCATCGCTATTATATTTAGATAGAGCTGTAATTCTAGTAAAAAAAAAAAAAAAAAAAAAGCATGGACCGTGTCTTTATGAAATCTAGAGTGCTGGGAGAAAAATTTAAAATCATAATACTATAATGAATAGGAGAAAGCGCTAATTTGTACAGCTTCATGTTCAAAAGCTCCACTTCCAATCACAACTCTACCAAACATCTGATAGTGCACATATGCTCCATACATGTTTTCTGGGGATTGTGATCGATAAACTGGCGGTAGGAGCTGGTTGCTTTAAAGAATGGCAAATACACCAATATTGAGACGATCAACCGATGTTCAAGCATGCTCTACAGCTGATTCCGGCTGCAATCCTAGCTATTCTTGCCTTTTCCCCTTCAAGTATTCTTTCCTCTTGTTCACTCTTTTCCTCTTCTTTCCCCTCTTGTTCGACTAAAGCAAGCTGTGTGTACTCGTTGATGAAGCTGTAGATCCTATCATACAGCTTCTCCTCAACATCCTCTATCATCTGTTGGCTTTGTATTTGTTCTTCTTCAGCATCTGGGGGCGTTCTTAGATACGTTACACAGTCCACCGAGATCGTCGTGGTTGGACGATACGTTGTACACCCGATGTTGATCCACTCAAGGGTGTGATAGGTAAAGTTGTGGAACGTATGGCAGCCATTTCAAGAAATGATAAGATGAAAGTTTAGTAAATTAAGGAAGCTAATTATCGATAAATGTATAAGAGAATATTAATGAAAGCCACCACTAACGCCTCTATTAACACCTCCATTAACACCTCCACTACACTGCACTCGCTCGCACTCATATACTCCACTACACTCCACTTCACTTCAATCACAAACACCTCCTCTCACCTCACACTCGGCCACCACTCTCAGCTGACTGACAGGAAGTATTTGTGAGTGAAGTGGAGTGTAGTGGGGTGTAGTGGTAAGGTATATCAGAGTGCAAATAGTATCCCGGTACCTTTATATTGTTTGTGGTCTCTGCATTGGCCGCATTTGCAACTTCTGCCCTCGAAATTTCTTTCTCAATGGCACTATTGAGCTCGAACCATGTCGTGAGGAGAATGACCTCCTCGAGGTTAGCATCAGGACCGGATCCTCCACATTATTGCGAATGGCTTTGCTTACCGTGCCTTGGCCACCAAAGAGCTCTAAAAATCGGTGTGGAATACCCTCCAGATGAAGGACTTTGACTTGACCTGTAGCACAACGAAAATTCTGGTCGATGCCTGTTGTTTTTACACGTTCTTCAAGGAACGTGGTAGCCTGCAATAAGGGTGCTGGACCATCTGCTCTAAGCGGTGCCTATGGCGCTCGATATTGGGGCTCGAGATTAATTCTTGTCGGAACCTCCTTCTAACGAAGGGACAGTATCCATACTATTATATTAGAAAATAGGATCACGAATTTTTATAAAGCTTTCTTACTTTTTATCACTATATTTTTACACTAAATAATAATAAGGGGAGGTCGGGCTTACTCTTTATCGGGACATGTGTTTTGGTTATGCCTTAGGCGGTTGCATAAACTGCAATGCCGTTGAGCAGGCCGATAGGGTGACCGTAGCCTAGAAGGCAATGATAATGATGTTAGGCTAAAAATATAATACGTAGTAAATTATAACTTCAATAAATGTGGACCAAGAGTAGCATACCTTCGCCTTCGTTCAGGCCTTTCGCTCAACAGGATCCTCAAGGCTAATGCTCCTGCGAGTCGCCACAGGCTTAGCTCGATTTTGGATTGGACCACTAACGATGCCATTGCAAAAGAAACTGATAATTTAGGATTGAAAAATATGTATTGTTAAGGATTACAAATCGAAACATCAAAATTTTGGATCAGAGCTCCGGACATGTACTTCGGTTGTGGCCTAAGTGGCCACAAATACTACATTCCTTCGCCTTAGGGTGCTATCAGTAATAACGGCGCAAAGTTAAAAATGAAATGAAATAAAAGATAAACCTCCCCAAAAAAAAAAAAAAATAAATAAAAAAAAATAAAAACCTTTGTCTCTGTATGGGATTAATATCCTGTTCAGTGCCTTTTACCTTTTAACAGTGAAACGGAGGTAATAAAGACATTTGTTCGGAATCAGTAAACACCAACTACTACAGTACCAATAAAAAAAAAAAAAAAAAAAAAAAAGAGGCGCAAGGAGATTCAACACACCTTGTATTTTGAGGGCAGGTCCATCTGTCATGACTGTTACTGTTGCACTGAATACAGGTGTATGTCATGTATTTACATTGCTGCAATCAGATTTTGATACTGAGAGCACTGTTGAAAACGAAAATATTGCAGTAAAATGAAAGAATGCAGGAGACGGCAGTAAATTCCAACTTAAATAGAGGTCTGATAATGTCGCACTGGCCTCTTGTTACTTTTTTTACGTTTGCAATGCTTTTTTTTTTTTTTTTTTTTTTTTAGCATATAAAATAGACGAAAGCAATGAAAACAAAGGTGCGAGGGAAATGAAGGCAAGGACTCAGAATAGAGGTGTTTTGAGGAATTAGAACAGTAAAACAAAGTGAACAGGTTTACTTTTTTTAAATCTACTCTTTATTATGCTGATTTAAAAACAACCAATATCCAATCACTCACTGGATGCCCATTCTCCAGTGATTCGCCACTCACAGATTCTTGCTGCACACAGATTCTTGCTGCCCACAGATGAGTAAATGCTCAAGCTGTTGCCTAATTATAAATGTCTGATCATTTATGGTACCAGAAGGCAGCCACCTAATTTTTTGTCTTTTTTTAATATATAGATACAAAATAATGCATTGTATAGACAAATACTACTTGCTGTCGACGGCGAGGGCTCTTTGACGGATTGTACTTTGGAGAAAAGAAGAAAGGATGAGTGCTGAGTGGTTTTTGAAATCTCTCAAGGAAAATATATGGTAATTGAAATCATTTGAGATCCCAAAGTATCGATTGAATAACAATACAAATACGGCATTTTGCTTTTATTCAAGAAAAAAAAGGAAAAATAAGAAAAAGAAACGGTATAGCGACAATTGAAAATCGCACCTGTGGTAAATGATTGTCACAAAGCGTGTAATTGGTAATCACTTTTGCGGGCAACTGTATAACGTCCTATTTATTGGCTCGTGGAAAGGAAGTCTATGGCACTCACAATTCGTGTTCTGAAGGCGACCCTTTATTACACGCAACCATAGTTATAATATGAGTGATTTTAATATTCCACAAGAAGTTTAGGAAGCAATTTTCAACTTTACTAATGGGTATGCAGATCTGTGTCGGTATACACTGAACAGTCTGCGCAGTAGTTTCCGTGATGGAAGCACTGCCCCGGAAATGCTACGATTTCTGATCTCGCCGGACTTTCGAGGAGGATTAAGTATGACACGGGTTTTTAGTCGGATGAGTGAATGGTCGCCGAGTGAAGAAGAATCAGAGCTTCTTTGCAAAGCCCTGCTTACCTCTGATAGGGGGTCATTTTGTGATGCTGAAATGAATACAAACCCGCCTTTGAGCCGCTTTTATAAGTCCGATCTCCTTACTATTGTTGATAAGCGGCCCCAGTTTACAGCCCCAATTAACCGTGTTTTTTTGGGCCATCGATTTTTCAGTTCGCGTATAGGAGAAATAGTGTCTCCTGGAATATCCTTCGATGGTTTTCTGACAAGAGCAATTGAACGCATGAGACCGTCCGTCTTGCGCACGTCACTTGGTGTTGGAGTAGATACTGTAGAGAGAGTAACAGGGCTTTTAGAACGAACATGGCAAATGGAATGGTATCGTGCGGCTTCCAGCGTTGTCCCACTCGGCTCAACAATTAGCCTCGACGTTGGACCAGTATTTGGCTCGGTAGGATTTCTGAATTTTTATGTGAATGGTTATCGTGCCTGGGGGATTGAGCTGCTTCGCGAAGGGAACCAAATGGCTGAACACGCAAGACGGTTTGAGACCGGTGGCGAATATAAGAACATTCCACTGAAGAAATGGGTCATTATTGATTTCCGTCACCATTCAACAGCTGTTCGAGAGATTCGTAACAACTTTTGGCACGCTCTATATTCAGATGATTATAGTACCATTACTATTAGACGTCTGGATCATCAGGACCAAGTTATTACAGTAACCACCATATTTGGAAAAATATTTTGCTCTCTAAACTTCATTGCCCTGTTGCATGCTCAAGATGAACCGGATTGAGATAGGAAACTGGATACACATAGCTATCCTCATAATAAACAGCATCCTCAAATCTAGAATCGATATCCCCACTCTTGATTTCATTATGATCATTTAATGGTAATCAGGTCATTTTTTCAAATATGAGACTACCCTCTAGAAAATGCTAGAATATTTTCTTTCGAGTCTGTTTCTTTCTTAAATGCCAGAGTTCCTATGTTTTTTGATTTATTATCGATACTTTAGCCCCTAAACGTCCATCCATACGAATATGAAGCCAATTACCCAATCCAAGGTTAGAAGAGCCATTGCTCTCCTCAAGCAAGGTCTTTCCACTCGACAGGTTGGCGAGAAACTCGGAATTTCCCATACTTCTGTGACAAATATCCGTCGAAGCGCAGCAGAAGATATTGCGAATAAGTCAGCAGGTCGTCCAAGGAAGATTGGAGACGAAATGGCCCAGTATCTTAAGCTAGGACTTAAGCGTGGTCTTTTCAAATCCTCCATTGATGCTCAAAAGGAAGCGAGCAAATTACTCCCAAGCCCCGTATCAAGTTCCACCATCAGGAGATGCCTTAGGAGGACTGGTATGAGGGCAAAGAAGGTTGTCAAGAGACCTTTCCTCAAGAAACAACACATAAAGAAGCGTCTTCAATTCGCTCGCATATACCAAGAATGGACTATAGAGGACTGGAAGGCTGTCGTTTGGTCCGATGAGTCCAAAATGAATCGTATTTGCTCAGATGGGGTGGCCTGGGTATGGGATGACCAGGAAGAGGCCATCAATGAGCGAACTGTTCAAGGAACAGTGAAGTTTGGTGGCGGGGGGGTCATGATATGGGGCTGCATGACATGGAACGGACCCGGCCGAATCTGTAGGATTGAAGGAACCATGAGCTCAGAAAAGTACATCAATATCCTAAGGAATGATCTCCAGCAGTCCGTTCGGGATTGGGGCATCGCAGAGGACGGGTTTATCTTCCAACATGACAACGATCGAAAGCACACTGCGAAGGTCACTCAGGCATATTTGCGGTCAGTGGGCCTGACAGAAGAGTCAAGAAGGCTTCTAACTTGGCCAGCACAGTCGACTGACATGAATCCTATCGAACACATGTGGTCTGAGCTGCAGAGGAGACTTGGGATGTACCCGGAATTAGTCAAAAGCTGTGCTGAGCTCTGGAATCGGATCGAGAGGGAATGGTACTCAACCCCACAAGAGTTCTGCCAGAAACTAATCGAGAGTATGCCAAGGAGACTCCGGGCGGTTTACAGGGCCAAAGGAAAGCATACTAGGTACTAGCCACTTAGACTACCAAGCGAACTAGCATTTTCTAGAGGGTAGTCTCATATTTGGAAAAATGACCTGATTACCATTAAATGATCATAATGGAATCAAGAGTGGGGATATCGATTCTAGATTTGAGGATGCTGTTTATTATGAGGATAGCTATGTGTATCCAGTTTCCTATCTCAATCCGGTTCATCTTGAGCATGCAACAGGGCAATGAAGTTTAGAGAGCAAAATATTTTTCCAAATATGATGGTTACTGTATATTACAAGGAGATGCGCTACACACGATGTAACCAAAGCGTTCAGGTTAAAATTGCTAGAAGAGATCTATCACACGATCTGATTACTGCCTATTCAGAAAGCTTTAAAAAAAAATCCAGCAACTAAAGGCAAGCCCATTGACTATAGCATAGCCTTTTTTAGCACAATTGGGTTTTACGATATCTTCAAATTAAGGATTAAAAATTGAACGAGTTCTTCATCCATAAATCTGGAAGCTTATATGTAATCATTATTATTAGGATTATACCTTTGTAAGCGAAATGAACCCAAAACGTAACAAGGAGCACTTGCAGCTTGCTTCTTGATATAGATCCTATTTTACAAGATTATTATCAATACGATCTCGCAAGACATCTGTGCTGAAGGACAGAGACTATAAAGAAAAAAACGGATGGAAATTCAAGCATAAAGTAAAAGGTAATAAAGAAAATGGCCACATAACGATCCTCTTGGTTCTCTTCTTTTATCCCCAGGATCCGAGGTGAGCGTTGACAGTCTGATTTTAACTCTCTTTAAAAGTAAACGATAAAAGGAAAAAGAAAAAAAAGATATCTATAATAATAATTACTATATACATTTAAAATAAAGTGAGTAAAGATGATCTTGAGAAAGTGGGCTAAGAGGTCACCGCCACACCTTTAGTCATGAAGATTTACCAATAACCCAGTTCGTTGTTTACGTGCCAATCATACAATTGTAGAAGCTCGTACGCGATTATTATTGTTGTAAAAATGAGCCCAATGACATCTGCAGATTAATTGGTTCTTCTTTTGATGTCCTTAGCGACTTCTCGATTAATGAAGAATATGTAGGAGCCAGGGTCAAGTAAACTCATGTATAATAGGCCATTTATAGTAATGGCAAGAGATACCCTGTTGTCTTCAGGCTCTAGTCCTCTAAAATCAATATTTCTTTTTGGATTTAGGACTCGCATAATTATCATGCGGATGTGGTGCTTTGGTTGCAATCTTTTAGCTTTTAATACAGCACTTGCCGCTGCTGTATTTAATGAGCAATTAATAAACACAGATTTGTGAATTAAAGACGAATATTTGTGTACATCGAAAGGAAAACCGGGATAGGGCGTTCAACAGCTGTGTTGATAGTTAGTTTATTTCTGTTTTGTTCTAGGTTTCTATCAAGAATATTCTGGGGTTTATCATCGGCTACCTGAGCTCTAACCCCTGGTTGGTAGAGATGATGATCCTCAGCTCTCCCAGGGCGGTTTCTTTGTTTAATCTGCTCAAACTTCGGTCTAGCTGCTTCAGTTCCTTCAGTAGAAAGGGCTGGATTGATAATTGCCGCATTGTAATGAACGGTCAACTTCATGTTCTCGTTCAAATAATTTTGGCGATCGGCACCAGCGTGAATAAGTGATTCTTTTAGTTGGCTCAACAGTGCTTGGGACGGAGCTTCCACTTCCGCAAGCGTTGGTGGAGGCCTTGTTGGGGTCGATTCAAGTAAAGACACCATCATCTCCTCCGGTAGGGTAGAAACAACGGCCCTGGGTGGAGTTTGAGCGTCAAAGGCAGGAGAAGGTGGAGTGGATTTGATTGAAGCAGAATTCATTGGATCTTCGTTAAATAAAAAAGAGGCAAAAATCTTAGCTATAGTGAAAACATATGTTGGGAATACATATCATATACAGGATATTTATTCAAATTCATATCAAAGTATAACTACAAGTTTGTCTATAGGCATGTTTTCCGATATACAACCGTTAGCATATATTATATTATCTTATGCACGGTGGAATCTCGATAATTGTACACTTTTATACAATTTTCGAATATGTTATATTTTTTGGTCGTCGGTTGGCAAAGAGCTTTACTCTTTTTAAAAAAAGCATTCTAAAAAACCCACACTCAGCTGGAGTAGGGGAATCGGTAGAGGATTTTTTAGAATAGTTTTTTATGGATTGTGGGCTTCTTAGCCAATCCCTTCTTCAAACTGGATGCGAATATCCAGGAAGAATGGTTATAAGAAAATAAAATAAAAACAATTAAGGGAATTATCTGTCTTATTTCAGCAAAGTTTGAAAATACATCTGCCCTCAAGCTGTATTTTATGCGACGGATTTGTTTTTCAAATGAGATCATATTTGGCATATAAAATTTTGCCTATTTTATTTTTTATGTTACATGTGTACTGTGAAATATGCAACAGACAGTATGGTTAACTAAGAGTAGATACCCAGGCCGGAGTTAAGGCAGCTTGAATAACATTCAGCGGCGTGAATAACCTTTTTAGGACAGTGGAGACGAAAATTTCCAAAAAGGGAAGCATTTTGTCCAGACGGCAATTTGATTCACCAGAACCCGCGGCCCGGAGGAACAATAACTAGTGAGCTTTTTTTCTTTTTTTGCCAGTCACAAATGTTTGTTGTCTATTTTTAAAAAAATTGAGACTGTATCGGGATTGTGAATATCCGTCTTGTTACAAGCTCATCACTAATTTTCAATAAATAGCGAGCAACTCTAAGAGGACAAACGGACATCCAAAGCCTATCACTGTCTTTCTTCACAATGGTCCACTATGCATTCCTCACGTTCAGCCTCCCTGGCCACCTCACTTGTATGGTGACCCTAGCCGAGAAACTTATAAAAGTACATCCCGACCTCACCGTTACCATCTATACGATAGATGCCGCCGCTGACAAATGTGCACCAATTAAAGCAATGCCTGGCCTCAATATCGTTACACTCAAATTGGGACCAAATGGAGGCAATGTGAAAGAATTATTCACTTACTCACTCGAGCAACCTGCCCAGCTGGCTGATGATGTCCTACTTGGTATCAAAAATGATCTGTCTTCTCGAGCAGGAGTAACCTATCCCTCTGTGGCTGTGAGTAACCAGTACGGCTCGACCTGGGGCCGCCAAGTAGCAGCCAAAATGGGTATCAAGTCATATATTTTCATGCCATCTCCAATGATTGTGTGGACAGTGCAAATGTTGCTGCCTCAAGTGTATGCTAGTGGGTTTGATCGTAAAGGATTCTTAGAAGTGCCTCATTACGGGCTCCTTAACCATTTACAGCTACTCGACATGGGTGGAATGGTTGACGGGTTGGCAGAGCAATGCAGATTAGCACAAACGCACGATGGAATGCTCATCAACGATCAAGAGGAAACCTATGATTCGCATTATATAGCCGCTCTAAAAGAATATATCCCCAACGTTCGATTTATCGGTTATTTGCCGCCAGCAACAGACTTCTCGAAGCCACCGGCCCCTAAACAAGCCCAATCTACCTGCCCTGAGGTGCAAGGGCCAGAAAGCTTAGTTCTTCCATGGTTGGATCGCCAAGGACCACGCTCAGTAATTTACATAGCCATGGGTTCATGGGTACATCTCTGTAAGGCTGATCAGGTCGAGCTAGCCTTTGCACTGGAGAAAGTAGGCCGTCCTGTTGTGTGGACTATTAAGAAGTACAACGAGACTGTACCTTACCGACCGTCGCACGCCGGGAAAGACTACAAGGAAAGAGAATGTAAAGTCCAATGCGATGAGTACGGTCTACCCGAGGGATGGCTAGACAGGATGGGAGACCGAGTCTTGATTGTTGAGTGGGCCCCTCAGACTACAATCCTAAGCCACTCTTCAACAGGCTTGTTCATCTCTCACTGTGGATGGAACTCCTTGACAGAATGTGTATCGTTAGGAGGCATTCCGATTGTTGGAGTGCCAATCTTTACAGATCAGCCAATCAACGCTCACATGTTGGAGCACAAACTCAAAATCGGGAAGAATCTCTGGAGCAACCCTACTGAAGGAGAATTGGATCGCCATCTTGTGGCTGATACTATCTATGAAGTCATGGGCAATCAGGTGTTCGCTGAAAATGCAGCCAAATTGAAGCGCCACAATGACAGGCGGTGGAATGGAGCATCAGGCGACTCGATGAAGAAACTGAAGGAGTTCTGTGATGAGGTTGAGAGTAAATAGCCTGCCTGAGCAAACCTAGATTATCCTTCCTAGCTTCAGCGACCCTTTCCTATGTAATCTTCCTCTTTAATAATCCTGAGTTACAAAACTATTCTTAATCTATTTTTTTTTTTTTTTTTCAATGGTTCGGCTGATCATGTAGGGTTAGTCAATACTCTTGCTAATGTCTATATAAAGTTAAATCTTACGCTGTAGAAAGCTCTAGACAGACAAGTAGTAGCTAAGGAGCAGTCAAATATGCCAGGATCATAATAAGTAACGAGAAGGAAAGAAAGATGACTTTATTATAATCTAGGGATCTTCGTTAAATAAAAAGGGACATTAACCTTAGCTGTAGTAAAAAACCCATATAAATGACTGCTAATCACAACACATATCATGCACTCTTTGAGTACCGTACACCGCACACGCTATTAAAGGTTGGGTCTACAATATACGATGCTAGAATATGTATTATGAGCTTTTTCTATCACATTTCTTACTTTACAAACTTTGCTTTCATGTACCTTTACTTACACTTTTCATCTGAAAAAAATAAAATAAAATAAAATAAAATAAAAAAGGGTCATCCATTAGACACCCACCGCCTGCCAAACGTTCTCGCCCTATTTATGGCGATTCAAACCATTCCAAGTCTGTTTATCGTCCGTACGGGCGCACATCGGGTGTACTACGGGTCACTAAAGCACGACAATCCTGGCGAGCCGTGAGGTTTGAAGAGAAGTTGCGGGAAGAACAGGTAGGGAAGGAAATTGAAAAGGAGGAATATGACTGGGCCTATAGCCCTACCGGCTCTGCCCTGGCATTGCTTGAACAGGAGATGGAAGAAGAAGAAGAGAGGAAAAAGGAGGAAGAAGGGCTTAAAATTGCAGCCGAACTTGAGTGTAGTGTTTGCATAAACGCAGGTTGCTCTTCTCAACAAGAATGTATTTATCCTGTTCCAAGGATAGCCAAGCCCAAGTCTTTGGTCGAACACCAATCATTTCACCAAGTTGTCCGCGAGCAACCGTCGTGCATACCTCTACATGAACAACTGTTTGCTCCTTCAACCCCTTCACCGGAATACAAAGGGTTACAATCCCCCTTACAAAAAAGGCATAGGGAACTTACGTATCACACTGAGGGATACACATCAATTATCCCAACTGTTTAATAGAGTTGTGATTGTCTATAGTAGAGATAGCTAAAGAGCCAAGTAATGATGATAAAAGAAAATCTCTTACACTGCAAAAGTAATGTTGGAAAGCACATCTGGAACCATGGGGATAATTTACATTGCGTAGTTTCTCTGCAAGGAAACAATATATAAATTGGGCTGCAAACCCTGGTGTCATGATGGTTTGGGTGAGTGTGGAGGAGACAGCATGAGCATAAATGCTATTAAAAGGGGAAATGGACAAATTATTATTATGCCTGGCGACACTGGTAACGGATAATAAGGGTCGCATCTGGAATAAGCTGAACCTTCTATATATAATGGCAGAACGTTATTAAGCTCAGTGAAGTATAGTTTACTACTTATTGCCATATTCCTGTGATAAGCTTTGAAGGGACGACTACGCTCACAGTGATCAAGGGCAAGAATCTTCCAATATTTCAGACAAACAATGTTTATTGGTGATTATCTACTATGCTACCACTCTTGAGATGCATCCTATCCCAAAGACGACCAGACTCTTAGCCAAAAAGCCTTTTGCTTTCGTGCTTTAGAGGTTGGTAGTCTTGATATGCGTAAGCTATTGGATGCTTTTTGGGTGCCTTTAGTGTGTTTGTTTTGCTTGAGGCGCCCTGTGTTTGTTTTGACTGGCACTGCCTTTGGTGAGTTGGTTGAGACTGGGCATGTTTGCTTTGGTTGGAGGAGTCTGGGTTTGCTTTGATTGAGGGAGCCTGTAGTTACTTTGACAGGTGCTGCCTTGTTGTTATGTTTCTATGGCAATATTTTTTCTGTTTTTCTGTTGTTTGCTTTTTATTTTTTTTTATTTTTATTTTTTTTGTTTTTTCTTAGTTGTTGCGTGTTGGGGAGAAAAAGGAAAAGAAAAGTAAAAAGTCTATTGTATATCGAAAGCACTCACGAGTAAAGGGCGAAGGGATGTGCGATCAGTGGTTTTTAACATCGCTCTAAGGAAATAGTGTGAAACCAATTTGCTTTTTGCACGCTCTAGAGCGTGTGTGCAAAAAAAAAAAAAAAAAAAAAAAAAAAAAACAATGCACAATCAAGGTACAACAATGCATATCCAAGGTAGGTCCGAACGGGCATGAGCCTACGCTGGTTCTTGAATGAGCCATGCAGTGGCGGAGCCCCTTCGATTGGGAATGGGAATGGGAATGGGAATGGGCAAATGTGTAAATAATTGTGTGTGTGTGTGTGCGGGCGTTTGCAAAGCCATGGGGCCTGATCATCGGAGCACGATATGCCAGACCACCTCCACGTGGTGTGCTCTGGACAACATCTTGGAGAGTCTTTTCGATGGTGACAAAGGAAAGTACTTTCCAAGGTGGCTAAGAGTCTGGCTCCTTGTAGCTTAGAATAGTAACCAGGTAAGTTAGATAGCTAGATAGCAAACATTTACTTAATAAAAAAAAACCTAAAATAAAAACAGGCTTTGAAGCTCAGTGAGTCATCTAAAATGCACGAAGAGTCCAGGTAATGAACTTGAAGATGTCCTTTGTCGCCTTGACACTCCATAGACAGAAACCTCTTGCGGCACAGCATCCAAAGGAAGCACTCATGCTAGTTTGCATATAATGGTTAAAGAAGCTGCTGTAGTCAATGAGGGCACAGCAATGCAAATGTGAACGCACTGTAACACGGTAAGCGCCTATAACAACACACGTCCACCAAAGTAGCAGTCCGAAATCATTGACTAAGGGACAGCTCATAGACTCTACCTAAAGAATTAACCAGAGCTATGTAGTTGTGTGAGCGCAGCTAGATACATAGGGCCTTAGGGCATGCTATTGCTACTAGACAAAAAAAAAAAGAATGCACTTTTGCACGATGTTTCCCTCTAAAACAAACCAATGCTTGATGAGTGGAGCTGCTTTTAAAACTTATGGTCAGCAGCCCCTATCTTTGCCACTCTTTTGTTGATTAGGTTGAAGACCTTCTCTTTTCAGTAGAGTATGAGTTATATTGATTATGGAACTCGTTCGGCAAATCAAATGCGTAGCCTAAACTAACGGTTATAGTCAAAGACCACCGAGCTTGAAGCCCAACTCCACTAAGGTATTCATGTGCTTAATTGGGTTGCTCTTCAAGGCCGTGAATGAGTGAATGTAAGTATATAGCCAGCTATATATTACTGAGCAGCTTGCTACCAATAGCTGACACAGCTTAATCCATTGGCTTTGCTATTGATTGTCGCTACTAACATTCTATTCCTATTTGAGGACATTTGCATTCACAATAGTCACAGATCCATCACATTTTCAGACAAAAGACAAAGATCATTGTATCTGATCTTGTCTTTTAATATTTATTATTAATTGTTTACTGTGCTGTGGTTTCCAAGCTGCATCCTGGCCCAAGAGTGGTGATGCCCTTGGTGCGTGTGCATGACTAGATATTTCCTAGTCGGCTTGGATTCTTTTGATGATGCTTCTTAGTATATCCTTTGATGCCGCCTTGGCTAACTGGCCTTGCTAACCTTGGTTGACTGGCCCTAGTGGCCTGGCTTTAGGTTAGCTGCCCTTGGTTGACTGCTTTTGATTGTCTGGACTCTTATCGGTTGCCCTTGGTCGACTTTGGCTTTGGTAGTCTTTGATTTCCTTGATTGCAGCAAACTGTGTTTGATTAATTGTGGCTGCCCGGCTGCCTTCGATTGCTTTGACTAAGGTTTTCTGTCTTTGATTTTGTTGGAGCAGTCTCTAGCTGCTATGGTTGAGCCAACCGTCTACCAACTTTAGGCCTTGGCTGGCTTTCAATGAAGTTTCTTTTGGTTGAGTGGAGTGAGCTGGTTGGCTTTTTTTTTTTTTTTTTTTTTTTTTTTGCAGTGACGTGACTGCTATCTGCTTCTGATTTTTGGTTTCTGACTTTTGGTTCCTGCCTTCAGGCTTTTGACTTCTGGCTTCTGGGTTCTGACATTTGGCTTCTGGGTTCTGGGTACTGGCCTCTGGCTTTGACTTCTGGTTTCTGGGTTCTGGGTTCTGGCTTTTGGGTTCTGGCTCCTGGCTTCTGACTTTTGGGTTCTGACTTCTGGCTTCTGGCTTCGGGGGGGTTTTTATTTTTTAATTTTTTTTTTTTTTTTTTTTCTTTTTTTTTTTTTTTTTTTGGTTTTTTTCGGGGATTTTATATTGCCCTTGGCTGTTAACTGTTGGCCGTTGGCTGTTGGCTGTTAGTTATTAGCTCTAAGACTATTTCCCCAAGCGCTCTACCTCGGTCTGATGCTCTTTCCCAGGCCTTCTGCTTTCCTCCATGGACCGTAGGCCTCGCTTCTCCAAGCAAAAGTCCCATTGTAGTGGTCTATCGAACGACTAATCAATGGAACCTCACTTTGACCAGAGCACCTTTGGTTCAGACGGCAGGGAACAGGGGTCACACAACATGACGCCTCTACGCCATGCACCCACTACGACCAGGCGTCCCTGGCGCAGCATCGCTAATTGGATAACCTAAGAATGATAAGTCAGCAACAATGAACCATTCACAAAGCCCTATAGAGCACCGAGTTGCCAAAGACTCCATCTAACCAGAGAGAACGAAAGCAAAGGTAAGTAGAATTAATATACTCTTTGTGTCTTTTTTTTCTACCTACCTTAGATGCTACCAGGCCTCGATAACACCTGTTCCTGATCCTGATCCTGATCCTGCTGGAGGGGGAATCTCCTTGACGGCCGAGGCTCGAGCTCTACAGGGCCCTGTGAAGAATTCATTGCTACTGACTTACCATTCTTAGGCTACCGCAACTGTGTGTCATCCTGTCCCTACGCGAAATCCCCAGAGGCACTCGGATCAAAGTGAGGCCCAGAGACTAGAAGTTCTCTAGCGCTACCACAATGGTCCTCCCTCAAGGAGTCGTGAGGGTCCGACGGAGTGGAACCCCCCCATCAGAGCAGCTGGGGGTTCGGGGGAGGCGGCAGAGGGACCGGCGGAGGGGCCCCGGGCTCTGATGGTAGGCGGAGTGGAGCCCTTATCGAATCGGTTAGGCCTCTGTGGAAAGAGCCGAAGCAAGAAATAAAAAAAAAAAAGTGGTTAGAATATTTGTTAACCAGAGTACAGAAGACCATATCGCATTACAAA